CCCACTATCACACCCACCACGCACCACCAACACCCTGGGGTCCACGCACCTCCTTGGACGGCTTCCTGAGCACGTCCCCCACGCCGCCCCCGCTCCGCAGCCCGTGACTCAGCACCGTCACAATGCACATGAGCAGTGTCTCACACGTGTGCTCGTTATCCTGCTCCAGTTCATCCGCCGGCACGAGCTCTGAGCAGACAGAAGGGAACCTGGTTAGAGACCTGGGAAGAGACACCTGCACCCAGCACTGTGCTCTGGGAGCAGCGCCACGGAGGCAGACAGTGACCTGCACTGTGTCCTGAGAGACAGAAAGGGGCCCAGAGCAGAGCCACAGGGCAGACCCCCCACCCAGCACTGCGCTCCCGAATGCCATTCCCCTGATTCCAGAAGAGGAAACGGAGGCCGAGCAAGCAGGGCTCAGAGTCCTCCCTCAAAGGTCTTCAGCCTCGACGGGGCTGTGCTTGCTCACTAAGCCCACTGGGCAGCTGGCTGACTCCTGGCGACCGGTGTGAGCACAGCTTGTGTCACACCACGTCCTCAGTGACTGTTCAGAGGGGGATGGGTGGGCTTCCTCCCAGATGCCCCAGGCTGGACCCGAGTTTCTCAGTGACCAGATAAACATGTCACCTCCTGGTACCCCAGGGACTCCCGTGCGTGGTGTCTGCCCTCACTGCGGGCATGCCTGCACACTCCTTACCCACCACCTGCTGACCTGCCCGCCCCTGCCCCGACGGTGCCGGAGACTGCAGGAGGCTCTGGTATAGGAATAGTGGGCAATCCCCAGTTGCCCTGTGATGTTATCTAACTCACGGCCTCACTGGAGTTCTGGAAGCCTACCAGCTAGTGAGGTGCACTGCAAACCCCAAAGCAGACGGTTCAAATCTACCAGCTGTTACACGAAGAGGAAGATGGACACTGTCCTCTCGTAAGACTTAGAGCCTCTTAAAGCTCGCTGGGGGTCAGCAATGAGCAATCCTGACTCAACAGCCAGGAGGGAGTTCAACCACCGAAACGACCCCTAGCAGAAACGAGTTATTTGTCACAACCACGTCCACTTGTCCAGCGTTTCTGTCAATGAGGAGGTTTGAGCCTCTCATACTAAAAGCAAAATCCACTGCCATCAAATCGGTCCAACTGGTCGTGAGCCCCCAGTGTGCTAAGTCTTTATAGGCAGAGTCGGCCATCTTTCTCCCTGGAACGGCTGGTGGATTTGAACCGCCAATCCCTGAGTGAGCAACACAGCACTCTAGGCACTGTGCCAGGGTTCCTTCTGGCATTAGAGTAACAACTGTCCCAGCATCTCTGCAAATTCTCCTTGAGACACGCAGGGAGGGGGTCTCACTCTTCCCCCTGCTCTGCTCACACAGCACAGCCCCCACAAACACTGGCACGCAGGACCCACACAGCGGCTGGTCTTCCCTTCACGCCGCCCTCCGCTTCTCCAGGCCTTCCCCATGGCTGCTGGCTGGGCTCTGCAGCAGCAAACCCTCCTGCTCCCGGAGCATCCGTGCCACAGGCGCCCTGGGCAGCCCGGCTCTGTGCTGCAGGCCCTACCTTCCTTGGGCTCCGGTGAGGAGCAGTTCTCCCCAGACTCCACCCTGCACACGTCCGGGTAGAGGAACCCACTGGCCACACTCTCACCGGCATCTGGGAGAGAGATGGGAACTGGATGAGGAATCTGGCAGTATGTGGTTATAATGTTTGAAGCCACCACTTCATGGCTGATTCTGTACATAAATAACACCCCACAGCCCTGCACACAAGTGCTAAGCAGAGAGGCCATTTACACTTTCATTTGGCGATCAGGATAGCGAAAATGCCAATTTCTGTAGGCTAACGAAAGTATCACGCTTGAATAGCACCTCTCCCAATTTGAAGACAAACACGACTGAAGGTACAGACGGCAGCATGACTCTAACGAGTCTGTATGGGTCTCACCGTCAGCATGAATGGAAGTCTGAGATTAAACCAGGTTAAGAGAGAATCTTAGGAAGGCTAGTGCCAGTACCACTGAGGATCAGTATGGGTGGAGGAGTCACATGCCACGAACGGAGCTTCTGAGGGACAGAACACCGAGGCCACCTGGCCACCTGCCTCCTTGGTCCCACGTGCAGTCTGTTGTGGGACTTGAAGCACCCAGTGAAAAACCAGTAATATCTTCCTGCTGTTGTTAGGTGTCACCAAGTCAACCACGAGCCCTAGCCACTGACGAACAACAGAGCAGAACCCTGCCCGATCCCGTGCCATCATCACATCTCCCAGATGCTCGAGCTCATTCTCTGTGACAGGCCTGGGTCAACCCTGTTGAGAATCCTTTCTCTGACCTTCCACCATTCCTGGTGTGAGGTCTTTTTCCAAGGAGTGCCGCTCCTGACAAAATGTCCAAAGCACGAGTGACCAAGTCTCCCCATCCTGTCTCCATGAAGCACCCCGGCTCTACTTCCTACAAGACAGTCCACGGTATATCCAGTACTCTTCTCCAACATCACAACTTAAAGGCATTGAGTCTTCTTTTTTTCGTGGTTATCTATTGTCCAAATTTTAAATGCATAGCAAGTAAATGAAAAGACCACAACTTATATCAGATGCAACTTAAGTCTTTAAACTGACATCGTTACTCTTCAGCACTTAGAATAAGTCTTTCACAGCAGATTTTCCTAAAGCATCACATCTTTTAATTCCTTGACTACTGTTACCATGGATGCTGATTGGGGATCCAAGTAAAATGAAATCACTGACAGCCTCAATCTTTTCTTTTCTCCATGATGTTGTTAATTGGTCCAGTAGTAAATATTTTTATTTACTTGATGTTGAGATGTAATCCATTTTCTTATGCAGCAAGTATTTCAAGTCCTCTTTGCTTTTAGCAAGCAGAGTTGTCATCTCTACAAAAGACTTGTTAACAAGTCTTCCTCCAATCCTGATATCACATTCTTCTTCATAGAGGCCAGCTTCTTAAATGATTTGCGCATACAGACTGAATAGGTATGGAGAAAGGATAAACCCCTAACATACATCCTTCCTGATTTTGAATTATGAAGTGTTCCCTTGTTTTGTTTAGACAACCTATGCCTGGTCTAGGTATAGGTTTCCTAGGAGCACAATTAAGCATTATGAGATCTCCATTCCTCTCACTGTTAGCCGTAATTTGTTATGAAGCACTTGGTCAAATGCCATGTCCTATACAAAGAAATACACTTCTGACATGCTCTGCTTTCAGGCAGGTGCTACAGCCTCTTCTGAAGACAGCTTAAATTTCTGGCAGTTCCCTGGAGAGATACAGTGCTAGCCATTTAACAATATTTTCCAGCAAGATTTTACTTGTATATTATAGTAATGATAGTATTCAATAATTCCCAGATTCTGTTGGATCACCTTTTTTTTTAAATGTAAACAAATACGTGCCTCATCCAGATTTCCTGGCATAGACTAGTCAGCCTGTCCAGGGCTGCATCTGTTTGTTGATGGGTACTCCATCAATTCCTATTTTTTTGCCAATGCCTTCAATGCACTTGAACTCCTTCCTTACCTTCTTGGTCATCTGCTACTTCCTGACATGGTCCCGTGTTGACCAACTCTCTGGCACAGTGCCTCTCTGTATTCCTTCGATCGTCTCTTAATGCTTCTTCTTCATTTAGTATTCACAATTTTGCCACAGTCCTTTGTTATGAGCTTTTGCATTCCAGTCACCAATTACTAATCACGCACTTGGTTGCGTGTTCAATTCATTTCAGACTGTAAAAGTTGGCAGAATACCTCAGTTTATGAAACTTTCACTTTAATGGTTGGTGCGTATATTTGAATAATAGTCATATTATCTTAATTGTGTATCCTATCAACAGCTGTATGTGTGTGGATAGTGCCCTGTCACTCACTCATTCACAGCATTGTACGTACCTTAGGATACAGCTGGGAATGTTCTGACTAGGAAAACACCATTCTGCCTCACTGTGCCATTCCTAGCTTCATAGACCACATGATCGTCTCATTTACGGCGACCAACACCCATCCTTCTCAGCTCACGACGCCTAGGATCTCAATCTGCAGCAATTCCTTTCAATTTCTGACAACATCTTATTTTCGTAGATTCATTTCGTATGTTCCATGGTCTGATTACTAATCAATGTGCAGCCGTTTCTCCGCATTTTTAGTCAGAGTGACAACGTCTTTATTTTTTTAGTGCTGCTATAATCAGGAAATACTCATTTTGTCTTGTTTCTTGACTTCTTAATGTAGCAAAATACATAGAATAACTACACACACACCCTATCAGTTCAGCATTTTTTACACATAACAACCCTGCAAAATTGATTCTGTTTATCATGGGATGCCGCCCACCCACCAGTCTTCATTCACACATTCTCCTTGTCCTTTGAGGGAACTCTAAGTACTGATTCTCTCTTTCCCCTCAATTCCCACCGCCGGTGACCGGTAATCAGCTTAGACCTCGGCACATCTGCCTATTCTAGATGTCTGATCCAAATCAGTCCCTCCGTGACTGCCACGTGTCACTCAGATGCTTTCGAGGCTCACTCACCGTGCTGTGGCATGCTTCGGGACTTTAATTCTCTTTCTGGCAGGGACATTTTATCTAACAGCAGACTGTTTTCACCTTTTAGACAACTGTGAACCGTACTGCCATAAGCTCCCATTTGTAAGGAAATAGTCCTTATACTTTAAGTAAGAGCAAGTGACCCCAAACGTACCTGGGAGAGCTGTTTCATTGGGCAGCCGATCCACTTCAAGGATGAAATCGTCCTTGAAGAAGAGATAGCCCACTATGGAGAACAGGTAGACCAGGATCAGGGCCAGGACTGCTGTCAGGATGATGGAGCGTCCGTTGCGAGTGACACTTTTAATGACATTAAGCAGCGTTTCTTCTCTGTACACTAAATCAAAAAGCTTGGGGAACAAAAGGATAGAGCACAGTTTTTAGGTTCGATGTCTGTCAGTACCCTATCATACGATGAAAGCTTGTTTTCTAGAGCATTCACCCCCAGGCCACACGGATCTATTTCATCCCCACATTTCACGTCCTGTTTCAGTGAACACTGACCACTGAACTGGAAGAAGTGAGGGGCAGCAAGCAGGTGAGGAGAGCAGGAACTATCACAGCTTCCACTGCACCCGGAGCGTCCCGAGTCCTGGGCACGGAGAGAACGCAGGCCTGCACCAACGTGCAATTAACTGCCTCTGAAAACCCACCAGAGGGCCATCCCTGGGTTGGTTCCGACTCAGTGGTACACAACAAGACGACGTATTTTTATAAAAATATCATAGCACAGCATTGTTACAACAGTAAACGTCTTCCACCTGGAAACGATAAGCCTTTTCCCATCAAAACTCATCACCCAGAACTTTGCCGAGGAAGCTAGTCCACAGGAATGGAAGGCAGCGTCTCTCTGGTGGTCGAATCGACCAGAGACTCTGCAGAAGGAAGGGGCAGTGCCCCCAGTGCTCGCCGCTCAGGACCCAGCGGATGGGCAGCTACGAGGCAGTTTCCACCCGGCTGCATCTGCGCTGGCTGGCTCGCGGACTGGACCACCAGGCTTTTCTCACTAGTTCTACCTTAGTCTGGAAGCTCGCCTGGAGCCACTTCGGTGTCCTCTTAAGCGAAGCTCCAGGGCAGGGGTCAAAGGTGAGCGCTACCCCAGAGGCCCTCTCTCGACTGGAAAGCTCTCCTTCCCAGAAAGGCCAATTCCCTCTAGCTCCCCAGTGGGCTCTATCTGTGGAGTAACTTGAGCGGGTTTAGTATTTCTTCTGTGATTCTCAACAAAACCATATGTAGGACTTTTGACACCAAAAGACAACACATCACTGAAGTCACGTGCAAGCCAAAGTCCAAAACCCCCCACAGGAAACCAAGTTCAGGAGACGTGGCCCCAACCTAATGTGACCTTGAGACGCTCATGCAAAAGTGAACTGAGCTCAGATAAGATCAGGGGGAGCTCTGAGCTGCTCTTATCTCTGTGACAGGTGATAGACTGGAAGGCACAGACACAGCTGCAATGTGATCCTGAAGGGAGCGCTTTCTCACACGCTCAGATGAAAGTGAGGAGGGTCATGCCCAAGAATCTGGACTTGAGGCAGAAGAGTCGAGCTGCTCACCTCTTACACACAGTGTGACCTGCCACCAACTGTGTGACCGTGGGTGAACCACCTAACCTGACGAAGCCACTGTTTCATCTGTATGTGAGCGGCACAGAAGAGGGGAAGAACCAGAGACGAGGGGAAGAGCCGGCGGAAAGGAATGCACGAGGAGACTCTCTGTGTGACAATGACCTGCAACAAGAGGTGCACTGCCAAGCTGACTGTGGGAGGCGAAGGAGGAAACTCAACAGTGAATGAATAAAACAATACTTTTAAGAAAAGGTACTATGAGAAGTTATGGAGAGATGACACAGCGAAAACTAGGGGAGCAGGGGTGCTTGATACTCTCCAAATCCCTGCAGGGTGCAAAGGGCTACTGTGCTGAGCATTGACAGACAGACCCTCGCAAGAGGCACGGAACCCCGCTTCTGAAAACACAGCCATGAAAATCCTTCAGAGGGTAGCTTGACTCCAGCACCCAAGGGTGGCCCAAGTGGGGATGACTTGATGGAAACTGGTTGGTTCTTAGGCTTTGGGGTCTGTGAGGTCAGGAATGATATTTATCCTCTCACCATTATACCTCTTGCATCTCACACTGCCATCTCTAGACACCCTGACTGAGTAAAAGAGGCCCAAACAAACTGGAAAGAAAGTACATGCAAATGGTCCAGCTGTGGCCCAGTGTGAAACGGCCCTATCTCAGGGAGAAGATTCTCAGGAGACGGATCAGCCAGTGGACTCTGCTGGACTCACAGACAGGCACTCCACTAACCGACATTACTACATGAGACCAGAAAGCTCAGGAATACACACAGGGGCCACAGATTTCCGATTTAAGAGTGACCAAAATAGAGCACATAAGTTACGCACGACATTCACCAATATATTCTAAGATCTCTTTGCCTGAACGTGAATACATAGCTAGGCCTGCTTTCAAACAAGAGCAAAGAATCCATTCGTCTTAGTCTGCCAACCGCTGCCATTCGTGGAGTGAGTCAATCCTGGGACCAGAAGGGTTAATTCTGCACGACATTCTGGATGGGGGTTGACCACGAGGTGACCCTCACAGTGACAGTGGCTAGGGAGCACTGAGCCCCCGCTGGCTGTATACATGCACCCTGCAGAATCTCTACAACAGCCCAGGGGCTGGGGGTTGTTCTCTCAATTTTGTACATGAGGAGACCAAGGCTCAAAGCAGGCGTGTAACAGCCAAGAGCCCATGCCGCTCCACCTCCGAGAAGAACCTCCCTTCTCCCTGCTGTTCTCAGACCCCTTTAAGTCAGCACTGAGGAGTCCGTCCTTGTCGAGCCTCAAAACACGTCTGCATTTCTACTCTACCGTGGCTCTGCTTGCCGGTGTGCTCCCGGTTGTCTGGGTATGAGGAAACGGCTTTGTATCGCCCCCTCTACAGGAGAGTGGTCCTCGGAGCAGAGAGCAGAGTAAGGAGGTCTTCAGGTGAGAACCAGCCTAACACCCAGGGGGCAGAACGTAAGAAACCATGTTCTGGCTGTCAAGCTGTCAGCCATGTGCTTCAGATGTGAACACAGAGACTGCAACGAGGTGGCCGGGACTCAGCCATCGGGTGGGCTCACTGTCATGGTTGTGTGAAGGTGAACCAGTTCCTGCCCTCACAACCACTATGGCTTTTCCCCAAAATGAAGCCTGGGAGGACTGATGATATTCTCAAAAATCCCAAACATAAATAAAAATAAAGACGCAGGTGGAAGAAACACCCACCCCCAATCCATCCTGAGGACATCTTCCTTACAGAAAAGATCCACTGTATACAGCCTGTAGTGTGGTGGTGTGTCAGGAGCCTGTACACCGTACACGCAGTGGTGTGGTGGTGTCTGGAGCCTGGAGGGGCCCAGGGCGTGGTGATGCAGGCACGGTGATACACCAGCAACCTCTATGTGGCCCGTAGCATGGTAATGTGCCAGGAGTCTGTATACAGTACATGGTGTGGTGGTGTGTCAGGTGAGTGGATACAGAACACAGTGTGGGTGTGGTGATATACCTGCAGCCTGTGTGTGGCCGGTGCAACGTGGTGTGTCAGGTGTCTGTGTATGGTTCACGGCATGGTGGTGTGCCAAGAGCCTGTATACAGTACACAGTGTGTGTAGACACCAGCAGCCAGTGGCATGGTGGTATGTCAGGTGACTGGATCCGGTACACAGTATGCAGGAATTGGCATGACCGTGAGTCAGGCATCTGTATGTGGTCCGCAGCAGGTGTGGTGGCACGTCGGGCATCTGTGTGTGGCCTGTGGTGGCCCGCGGCATCAGGCGTCTATAGGCAGCAGGCGTGGTGGTGCGTATGGCTTCTGTATGCAGACCACAGCATCAGGCGTCTATAGGTGGCCCACGATGGACATGGTGTACCAGTAGTGCTGACAGCTGACTCAGCTCTGTACTGCTTCCCACTCGAAGCTCTCCCAGTGCACTTCAGGGAGAGGCTTTCCCAGACTTTCAGCAGCAGACAGGCACCGTAACCGCTGCCGTCAGCCGGGCTATGACCTTACAGAGCAGACACCAGCATCACCACCAGAAGGAAAGGTCTGCCATGAAGGAGAAGACTAGGGATGCTCTCCTCATATTCATCAAACAGCCAGGAACCGGGTACCCACCAGCAGACTGTAGAAGAATTCATGGACAAGGAGCCCCATGGCACAGATGAGCAGGTAGAGCAGGTGGTAGAGGAACTCCACGTCGAGGATCATGGCTCGGTAGCCTCGGGTGAAGGTCCCACAGTTGCCCACGAAGCTCATCAGGAAGATGATCTTATTGCAGACCTGAGAACAAGGACAGAGGTGAGGCCACATTGATGGCACCCTGCGTGGGCACTTCAGCAACCAGGCCAGCAACTCATGAGGGCTCAGAGATGTGACCAAACAAGAGCTGGCCAGGAGAGCAGTGTCCCTCCCCTCCAGGAACCCACCAGCCCCCCAAGAACCTCTGGGCTTGTACAAGTCATTGCATTACTTCGCTTTTCAAGCATATTACAAATTATACTGTAGGCAAATAACTTCATGGGCAACTAGGATCAAACAGCATTTGTATATGGCAAAAACAAAATTAACACCTACTGAGATTATGATTTTCAAAATGAGGTGTGAGTAATTTCTACATTTTTGTATGACTTAGTCAAACACAGAATTCACCTCAATCCACAAACTCTGTGATCAGCATGATTTAAAAACGTTTCCTAAGTTTGTTACATTATAAGCATTATAAAGTTGCAATTCAGTGAAAAGAAGCCAGGTCTTATCTTTAATTGCTTCTGATTTTACAGGGAAAATGATTATCATTATTGTTAAAGGTACGTTTTTCAAAGCAAGTCCCATCCCCACTGCCTGCAGTTATAAATTGGAGGCCTCATTTTGAGAGGCATTCATTTTCAGTCCTCGGTCTGGGTGGGCTCCATCCTGGTCTCAGAACACGGGATCCCCTGGCTGTCCCCAGCAGCTCTGCAATGGGCACATGGCCATCGGGGCCAGTGCAGTCCAGGGAGAGGCTTTCCCAGACCTTCAGCAGCAGACAGTTTGTTCCTTTCCCAGCGATCCTGACCACAGGGGGATGCACGCTGTGGGTCTGCTGGCGCCCATCGTTCCCCCCAGAACCCCCCTCCCCCCCAGGGAGCTGTACAGTGGAAGCACCGGCCGCCCAATCCTTGTCTGAGCCCTGTGGTTGGCGACACCTGAAACGAGGCCCAGTCACATGAACCACGGCCTTTTCTCCTTGGCTTCAGCTCGTGCTGATGAGGTTTCCTGGCAACAGAGAGCCCTACCTCACCTGCTGTGTAAAGGAGACCACTTTGACAGAAGCCCCATCCCCACCGGTCTGCTGGCAGAAACCCTGTATCCAGAGAGGCTGCAGAAGGGTCTGCTGAGGTACCTGGTAGCTGTCTCCTGCCACCCTAGCTGTCCTGGCCCGGGGTGCTGGGCAAGCCTGCCAGCTAATCTGGGGTCAGTGTAAGCAAACCCCTAAGCAATCAGGAAAATGAGGAAGCCAGCACCCCAGGACTCTGGCCCTCCTCCAGGGAGCAGAACCTGCAATCGCCAACCTCTCCAGGACTCTAAGCCTTGCTGGTGGAGGGTCATTCAGAGGCTGGAAGAACATGGACTCTCGACGCTGGGATGATTCCAGTTAAAAACAACAAAGCTAAATCCTCTGGCTGTCGTGGCCAGGCTTCAAACCCGCCCGAGCTTCTGTTGCCTTAATAACTGAGGCATGTCCTGCACTTGATGCCACGCTCCCTGCTCCCTTTCAGTCCAGCCCACGTTTTCTCCACCGCTGGGCCAGCCAGCATCCCCGGTGCCTGATCTGAGCCCTCAGTACCTCATCCTAAGGAGTCAGCTCAAGGCATCTCTGACCTGGCTCCCAGCCCCACTGCTCGGCTGAAGATGCCCCAGATGGTGCTACGGCTTCTGCAAGGCCAAGTCCAGCAGTCTCCCTCCCGTCTGCTTCACACGTGACCTCTGCACGGACTCCACGGACCATCTTCCTTCGCACTCTCCCATCTCAGACATCCCACCGTGACCTGCTGCGCAGCGCCCTCCGTCTGCCTCCTGTCAACAGCACTGTGTGTGCTGCTTCTCCTTCCCTCTAAATAATTATCAGCCCACAACCACACAAATGTTATTATAAATGACAACCACCTCCCAGCTGGTCTGTGAAAGATGGCGGCATGATCTCAGGCCAGAGAAAGAACTGCCCATCCAGAACTCAACACCTCGACCGCTCTGCTGTCCTGCCTTCCTCAGCCCTTCTCCCTCACTGCAGGCAATGCCTGCGTCCCCTCCCCGACCCTGGCTTCTCGTCAGCACGAGGGCCAGGTGTTTCCAGTAACACAGCAAGTATTAGTACTTGCTATCCTTAGTCCACCAAATTGATTATTTAAATGAATTTTTACCCTTTAAGACTTGACCCTGTTGGCTACACTCCTTCCCAGTGATCCTTAACAGGACAGCTGGATCCCCTCTGCCTTCCTTAGCAGCCAGTCAAACATAACACCTTCTTCCATGAAGGAATCAAAGTCTCCACCAAGACTTTCCTTTTGACAGGCATAAAAGCGCAGCCCACCGCAGCTGTGTGTCACCATTTCCTTTGTAAGACTGTCGACTGAACTCTCTAGTCTATTTTGACACTGTGACCAAGACTCAGGCGCAGTGTATCTACATGAAACCACCACTGCTGTCAGGTGCTGTCAACCAGCCCCGTCAGTCACTCCGTGTACAGCACACACTGAGGGCACCTGGCATGGCCCCTTCCTCACAATCGCTGGGTGCCCAGTGCTGTGAGGTGCCGTCAAACGGCCCCGTCACAGTCACTGTGTACAGTGCGCCTGATGCTGCCTGCCTCCTCGTCAATCTCTGGGCGCTTGGACCTGGCGTTGCCGTCCTGGACTGCCCTTCTCATCGAGGGCCCTCCTCTTTCTCTCTGACACACTTTAGCCGGCATGCTGTCTTCTCGCTCCGAGGTCTGTGGGAAGAAGTCGCACCAGACTCGCGTCGAAGTGTTCTCACTGCACATCACCCAACAGATCTGTTTTCAGCGCTGGAGTCTCTTAAATGGTTCTCCTGCCCCCACCTCCTGTTACCCACCTGCCATGTCAGTAACTAAAGAATTTTCTCAAGACTATTTTTTTTTTTTTTGCTGAGTGAAATATCTCGGTCACAAAAGGACAAACATGGCTGTTATAAAACAGGGCTGACGCGGGAGGCTGGGAGGACACTGCACTGGAACAGACGGCAGGAAGAAGTGTTGGAAGGGAATATATGGTAAGACATTATGTGTACAGCCACAGTCTAGAACAAGGGGTGCGCCGCAGAGTGGGCTGGGAGCGGGGAGGGAGGGAGAAAAAGTCTGCAACAATGAATGAACAAGAACCCAACCTCTCTGTAAACATTTGTTAAAATCACAATTAAAAATTAAATCAACACAGAGAATTTTTTTACACGGCATTACTTTGCTCAAAAGATGTCAGTCATTTCCCATGACTGGGAATAGTTTTTAATGCATATTCCACACAGCACTATTCTATATTTTAAAATTATGGTCAAATACATTTGGGAAGCCCTTTCCTGGGGATTCTAACCGCCGATTCACACCTGCAGGTCTCTCAGAAGCTCTGCAGGGAGAATCCTGCCTAATCCTGTGTGATCCGAGGTTCCCCACGTTGATGTGACTGTGGGACCTTCTAGCCAGGGACAGCTGAAGGTACTCTGGAGATGCCAGTCTTTATCCTAGGATCGTTGAGTCCCTTGTCCTAGAATCTTCTGGTCACTGGGACAGGATCTGAATCCACCGGACCTCGGCATGAACCACAGGTGAGGGTTCCCCGACACTGCATCAGCTCCTGACAGCATCCTGGGCCCAGCCTTCAATCACAGACTTCAGTTCCGTCTCCTCTCCGAGCCGCTCTGTGTGAAGCCCTGCTGCCCCACTACGCACCGTCTGAATGTCCCCGTGGGCCGCTGACTGCTGCACCGAGTCACTACGCACCTTGGTTTGCAGGATCATTTCCATTTGTACAGTGACCTCAGTGTTCTCGTATGTTCAGGGCAGACACCTCTGCACAGCATTTTCAGTCCTGCCAAGCCTGAGACACGCACCCTTCCTTCAGCAGGACGCCTCCCCAGTTGTGGGCTCCCCTCAGCTTCCTCTACTTCTGACTTGTCCTATCCAAGCAGCTGGCCTGTCCCTCACCTGGACTGAGCACGCTTTTCCAAACGTCACTCCTGCCTTCTCCAGTCGCTTTCTCTGGGTCTCCGCTCATGTCCTGCTTCACCTGCTCTGAGTAAGGCCTCTCCCCTCACCTCTCTGTCCTGTTCTGCATCTTCAGACTGACACACGCAGGGGCCCTGCAGAATGGAGGGCCTTCCCCAAGGCTGTGCACCCTCCGAGATGCAGCCTGCCTCACTGTGCTCCCAGGGGGCTGCGGTACGTGTGACCTGCTTGCTGACCTGCAGGTCAGCAGCCCAGCCTTGACTCCATGGGTCACCAGGGCTGCCTGGACAGGGCTGCTGTGAGGTGGACCTGACAGCAGTGGTTTGACTGGGTTCTTCACCGCAAGGGAGGGCCGTGGTCACCTGTGATGATGGCACTGTCAGTCCAACCAGCCTTTGAAGAGGGTCAACTGCTACCCATCTTCCCATCTCCCTTTGAGATAGAGACACCATCAAGATGAGACAGTCACTGTTGAGAGAAGGCAGCGAGGGGCTCCTGGCACCACGAGGAGCATGTACCTCCTTCTCTCTTGCTATTTGACGAGTTGACCCAAAAAGGACAAAGCACAAGCCAATACCTCAGTGAGCAGAAAGGAAGGTTTTTATACTCACGTTGAAAGCTCCCAGGAGGAACAGCGTGGGCTGCAGCCCAACAGAAAAGATGAGTCGGAGGATCGTGGATGCGATCAAGGCTCGGATGCCGTGGGGCTTGGGGAGAGCGATGACGATGGCCAGGGAAATGAGCATGGCTGTCCACAGCAGGCCCGACAGGTGGGGCTCCAGGGTCCCTGCAACGACAGGACGGGGGCAGGGCCGACCATGGAGGCCTGAATGCACCTGCTTCAGTCACCACCCTGGCCTCACCTGTCACAACGCTCACATCTCTAGTTCCCAGCCCTACAAACGAATGGATAAGCAAAGCGTATTGAAAAATGGGAGTATTATTCATTCAAAAAGAGACATGAAGGCCTGATACATACATTATTGTAGGACTTGAAAAAATTGTGCTGAGTGAAGTCAGTCAGACTAAAAGGACAAACGTCATACAAGCTTTCTCACAGGAAACATCTAGACGAGGTAAATGGATAGAGATCAAGTTCAGGAAGGGTTACCAGGAGCCAGCTAGAGGCAGGCGGACAGGAAGCCAACGCTTAGGGACATGATGCCCTGGCAAGGTGACAGAAACACCTGGGACTCATTAGGGGTGATGGTGGAACAACACGGTGAGCACACTTGGTGTTACTGAACTGCACACGTGAAGATCGTTAGCATGACAAATGTGTCACCTTGTCATTTACCACAACTAATAAGAAATCTGACTGGTTTCCTGTACCTGAAGCAAGGATTCTGAAGCTTTGTCTGACATACTTTGGACATGCTGTAAGGAGGGACCAGTCCTTGGAGAGGGATGCCATGCTTGGGAGGGTGGAGGGACAGTGCAGGAGAGGAAGACCCTCGATGAGGTGGATTGATTCAGTGACTGGGGTCATGGGGGTAGGTGCGTTGGAGACAGTGAGGTTGGCACAGGATAGAGCAGGGTGTAGGGCTGTTGTACGTAGGGTCGCTATGAGTTGCAAGTGACTCAATGGCTCATAACAACAACAACAAATCACCACAGCAGGCATGGCCAGCAGTCTGGTCTGGGGCTCTGCCTTCCTCTCTGCTGCAGCTCTCAGCTTAAATACGACCTATTACTTCTGGTGACTTAGTAACAAGAAGCTGCACCTGAAAGCACATGGTTCGAGGCCACCAGCTGCTTCTCCTTCCATGTGATTACCTGCCTCTGAAAACCGGCAGGAGGGTCAGCCGTGGTCGGTTCTGACTCGATGGTTCACAATAATCTCTCCAGGAAGCCTCCGGGGCTGTCTTCTTGCTCACGAGCCATGCCTCATGCTCCTGTCCCCTGCATCCCCTGGACTCTGTCACCCTGGTGCGGGCTAGCTGTTCTCACATCGACCTGAACCCCCCGGGCAGTCCCTACACAGTGCAGTCAGCCCATGTGCTCCAGTGAGGACTGTGGGTGGCTGACCCTCTGAATCAGACCCCCACGCCTCTCTATTAGGTCCACGATGGTCTAAGAGCATCACTGGGACTGTTTCCCATCATAGAGGTGTGCAGGCCTCTACTGACAGGCTGGTGGTGCTGTGTGTGAGGCACTGTGTGTGAGGAATGGCACAGGGGCCTTTGCAGGGAGGGTGACAATTCTGCCTGTGAACGAGCAGCCCCTGATCAGCCCGGGGCCACGCTCTCCGGTGGTCAGCTGACCTCTCTCTCACTCGTCTCCACCTTCTTTGAGGGAGGATCTCACACTCTTCTGGGCGCCCATTAAATGCCTGTTCAACAAACAAGACTCAGTCGTGGACGTCACTCTTGTGGAAGGTGAGTCACAGGCCTGACCTCTTAATTCCTACACAAAGGAAAACCGCAGGTCCTTGGTCAGCGTCGGATTCTTCAAGAGATGGACAGCAGCTCCCATGTCAGAGCTTCATCCCACAACTAGACTATCCTCGTAGCCAAAGAGCTTAGACCAGTGTTTGTCATCTCTCGCTACTGCAAGTTCTATTTAGGGTGTCCCACGAGACGCTCGGTTATATAACATAAGCCAACATGGCTAAAAATACAGCTCTGTAAAACACTCGTTAAAAAACACACTCCCATTTCAAATGCTGTCACATTCTGAGTCTCCTTCAGAAGTAAAGAAGCAGCACTCCATGATTAAGGCCACTTCCAGAAAGGAGTCCCACTTCTTCACAAGTTCTCAGCTTACAGCTCCATCCAGGAGAGAGACAGAAAGGTATTTTCAAGAGTCTCAGAGGGTACAGCTTGTCCACAGATTTGCTGGCTGTCCCAGTTTATTTAGTCCAAACATGCCAAGATTCAGTTTCTCTCTAAAAAGTGTTTCCTTAACTCTAACTACTTACTCTTCCCCTTTGAGTTCCTCCCAGGAGACCTCTTCACGAATGGGCTCAAGGAGACAGGAGCCTTTCAATTTCAGGAAAGTGTTGGGCAGGTGAATTCTCTGTGCACGTAACACCAGTCAGACATGGGATCAGGCTTCTCTGAAAATCCGCTAGACAGTCAGTTCTGACTCAATGATATATAACCACTCCATAAAATAAAAAAGGGGGGAGGGAAGAATTGCCTCAGCTTTATCAAGGTTCATTTTGAAGGAGCACTAGTGGTCTAGTTGCAAGAAGCTGCACTGTCATCCCGAAGGCACACAGTTGGAGGCCACCAGCTGCTCCATGGGAGGATGGGAAATCTCCTCCCATGTGCTTCTCTGAAAACCCACTGGAGGGTCAACTATGGGACGACTCCACTGTCTGTCTGCCTGTGTATGGGAGAAGGATGGGCTGTTTCATTTACTGCCTCTGAAAATGTACTGGAGGGTCAGTTATGGGTCAGTTCTGACTCAAAGGTACACAACACCAACAATACGTTAACATTAGAAGACACTGCCAAACTTGTTTTCAAAATGATTGTACCATTTGGCTTCCAACAGTCACACATAGGAGTCCCAGCTGTCCCTGGTCTCAGAAATACTTGATATTGTCAGTCTCCTTCATCATGGCCACCTTAGTAGGTCTGTAGTCGCCTGTCACTGTAGTTTTAATGTGCATTGTCCCAATAGCAGTGAGGGGAACACTCTTCTCATGCTTTGGTCTATTTGCAGGCTGTCTTTTGTGAAGCATCTGCTCAGATCTTTTGTCCACTGTCTTAATAGGGAGCCTTTCCTTCCTGAGCCGTTCAAGCTCTTTCACATATTCTACATTCACCTTGTTTGCCAGATGCCTGGTTTGCAGATATTTCCGCCCAGACTGGATGGCTTTTCATTTTCTGAACTTGTTAATCATCGCTTCAAATTGCCTCTAAAATGTCAGTCTAATAAATATGACCAGCATAATGAGTTAGCGAATGCTTTCCAGTCTTAGAAGGGCCAACGTGAAAACCAGCTATGTTTCCACTATCGAAGCAGTGTTAAAAACAGCAACAACATCCGCGGGGATCTGGAAAGGCAGGGGGGTGGTGGGCAGAGTCCACTTGTGATTCATTTTATAAAGTATAATGAGTGGAAATGATTGTATGAAACATAAAGTGATGTGAAACAGAGTGTATATGAACTTTATAATAAAATCAACATGAAAGAATTAAAACAAAATTGGGTCTCAAAACCAAAACACCTCATCTCTAAATAGATGCTTTTGAGACAATTTTAATGAGCAAAGTACCAAGAAGCAGTCCTCAGAACAGAGCAAGGAAACACTGAATGGTTCAAAATCAGGAAAGGAGCACATCAGGAATGCATCCTGTCCTCATATCTTTTCAATCTGTGTGCAGAACAGATCATTCGGGAAGCAGGGCTTTATGAGGAGGAGTGTGGCATCAAGATTGGAGAAGACTCATTAACAACCTACGATATGCAGATGACACAACCTTGCTTGCTGAAACTAAAGAAAACCTGAAGTGTTGCTGCAAAAGATCAAGGGGATAGTCTTTAATATGGATTGAAGCTCAACATCAAGAAGACAAAGATTCTCACCGCTGGGCAATGGATGGAGAAGAGATTAAGGTTGTTAGCAATTACAGCTTGCTCGGATCCACAATCAACACGCTTAATGGAAATCAAAAGATGAATTGCTTTGTGAAAATCTGCTATCATGGACCTCTCCAGAGTGCTGAAGAGCAACGATGTCAGTCTAGATAGAAAGGTGTGCCTAATCCAGGCCATGGTCTTCTGAATTTCGTGTTATGCTTCAGAGAGTTGGATAATGATTAAGGATGACAGATAATGACTTTAGGTTGTGGTGCTGGAGAAGAATCTTGAACATACCATGGACTGCCAAGAAAACAAATTGGTCTGACTTGGAAAGGAGGAAACTAATTCTCTCCTTGGAAGCCAGGATTTTGAAGTTCTGCCTCACTTACTTTGGACACGTAGCCAGGAGAGATTGGTCCTTGGAGAAAGACATCATGCTCGGAAGCGTGGACGGACAGCACAGGAGAGGAAGACCCCAGAGGAGATGGATTGATACAGTGACTGGGGCAATGGAGGTTGGTGTGTCAGAATTAGTGAGACTGGCTCAGGACAGGGAAGGGTTCAGAGCTGCTGTACATAGGGTCGCTATGCATCACAGGCGACTCAAAGGCACATAACAACAATAACATACTATGACAGGTATGGAAGCAGGAATGGCATGCACTTCCTCCACAACAGGCCTCCAGAAACTCCATGAACTCTGATAAATTTAGACAGCCGGAGAGGGGCTTCAGACATTTTGTTCATAGGGTCGCTATGAGTCGTGCTCGATTCAAAGGCAATCAACAACAACAACAACAACCTGAGAAGATTTACTGTTAGTTTCGTTAGCTGGAACGGATAGAAAAGTGCTGTTGTTTTTGTTGTTGTTATGCGCTGTCAAGTGGGAACTGACCCATTGCTGACTGTCCAGCAGGATTTCGCAGGCTGTCAATCACACAGGAGACTGCCTATCGTAGCTGGTGGATTTGAACCTTCTGCCTTTGGGTTGGCAGCACAAGTGTTTACCCACTAGGCCACCAGAGTTCTCTCCATATAAATATTTGTACATATTTAAACATTCATATGAGTTAGCAGCACACATGAAAATATTTATGGACAAAACAACAAGATACTAAAACTTCTTTAGAATATTTCACAAAATGTTGGCACAATGTTCATAAATGTTAAAGTAAGGCTGCTAGATACATGATAATTCATGAGGCTTGTTTTTCTATTTGTGTAGACATTCAATAATAAAAAGCTTTAAAGGTACTGAATTTCTCCCAATTGTCATAACATACAAGTTTAGCAACACAGCCGAAGCTGCTCACGTGTCATGCCTTTGAAAGACTGTGACTCAATTCTGAAGAGGAGCTTTTAAGGCCCACTGTGTTCTGACAGCCACAAGCCTGTGAGGCAGACACACCCCAGCACACACTACAGGTGAACGTACACCCGCAGTACATCACGGTGTGCATCTTACAAGCTTTGTTTTCGGGATTCAACAAGATCAAACATTGACCTCAGCAAAGTACTTTCAGAAAACGAACAAGACCATGTTTCTAAGGCGCGCTAATTCATCTTCCCGGTTAGCAGTGAGTGCAAGACAACACACCAACACATCTCAGAAAAGAAACAGCAACGCTCTGGGGAGTGAAGAGACGTGTCCATATTTCAGTGACTGTAACGGAAAGTCTCCCATAGGTTAGATCACTTTCCTTCCCTCCAGGAGATGTAATAACGCTTTCTGGTTTATTCTATCAACATGGAGTTCTCAATTCCATGCTTCCCAAACAGAAAGCCTGAATTCCTAGCAACTGGGCAGAGATGATGCCTGACTGAGAAGATACCATTATAGCGTTGGAAGGACCCCGACCATCATTTCGCTCAGTGGTCTCTGTTTTACCATTTTGAAGGGCAAGAAAGAAATGCTGCAGAGATTTCATTTTTCCCTGAACTCTAAATCCCCATCAGAGTCCCTAGTTCTTGGCTTCGTCCGAGCACTTCAGATTGCAGGGGGGATGCCAAGGACTTTGAAGGGGTGCAGTGGCAGGACGCCAAGTCTCCAGGCTCCTCAGACAAGGACTCTTTGCCAAAGGGCAAGGAGCTGGCAAGTCACTGGCCTCACGGCTGCCACCAGTAACCAGGGAAGAGCACAGTAACGATGAATAAAGACGATCTGTTTTGAGAGAAATGAAGAGCACATGGGAATGCGTCCCCAGCAGAGCTGAATAACTCGGCTAAGATGAGCATGGCACTTCCCCGGTGTGGAAGGAGCCTGGGGCCTCTGTCATGATTCCTGGGCTCCAGGCAACACTGCTGGCTGGTGACTGGGTCAAGTCAGTCTCTTCCCCAGAAGGAAACCCTGTGGACCTCTGAGTGTCTCAGACACAGACACACAGGATTCTTGCTCTATCATCTGAAAGTAAGATTCTTTTGGCACTCGGACTTAGGTAGTGATTCTGGGGGAAAATCATTCAAATAGAGCTTTCCGTGCAACTTAAGTCAAAAGAGAAAAGCTCTTGGGTTCCGTGAATGTGTAAGCTTAGCGCCAGAACCCTCACCCTGCAGCTGCCACACCAGCTCCGACTCCTGGTGCCCACAGGTTTCCTCGCTGTGGCCGTGAAGGGAGCACATCACCATCCCTTCTCCAACGCTACCTGTGGGTTCAGACCACAGGGCACCTAGTGAGATGCACCAGTGTAATCTGAGGTGTCGGCCTTTTTAGAGTCCTTAGTTTAAAAAAATTAGATACACATGTTTCTGAGCCATTAAGGGCTGAGCCTAAAGTTGCTCGAGTGTCTTTCAAGAAATAAATGAACAGAGTAACTGTGGTACATTCAGAGTGGAGTACAATATGATACTGGAAAACAATGAAGATTTGTGAAACTCAACCTAACATGGATCAACCTGGAGGGCGTTATGCTGAGTGAGATGAGTCCGTCATAAATGACAAAATTGTGTAAGAGCACTGTTACAAAATGCTAAGGAAGGCTTACATACAGAGAGAAAGATACTACAGTGGTACCGGTGTGTGTGTGTGTGTGTGTGTGTGTGTGTGTTTGTGTGTGTAGAAAATGAACAGACAAATTAATACAGGTGAAGGGACAGACAAAGCGGGAATAGCTGGCAAGTGGAGACCGGAGGTATTTTGATTTCTGTTCTGGAAAAATGTGCACAGATGACTGATTAAAGCCCACCATGCTTGGTAAACAATCGCCCAAACCACAATCAGAGACAGAACCCACTGATGCCCCTTGTGTGCTGCCTCTACGGTTACTTCTGGACTCTTCCTCTCAGGCTCTTCCACCCAGGATGGTTCCTGGCAGGTTTTTCTATGCGTGCAGTCATCTGTGGACAGCTCTGCTGAGAAGCAGACCTACCAGGAGGTGGTGGGTGTCAGGAGAGGGGCTGAGGAATGGAAGAGGACCCTCCAGCCTCTGTCACCAGAACCCAAGAGTGTACACACGCTGAGGTCATGAAAGAAACGGAGGCCGGACCGCAGGACAATCGCCCCTCGTGGCTTGGCTGCCTTTTCTCAGCACAGCATGAAGAATGCGGACACAGCTGACTGGAGGGAGGTGTGTGGGGGCAGGCGTAGTGACTGTGGACACACAGAGGCAAGCAGCTCCGCACAGAATGAACATTCAAGGAGGCGCAGTCGGCAGCATTCGAGTCCTGCAGCGCCCCACCCTTCACGGAGGAAGAATCCCAGAGATTTCTGACAGATTCTTGAGACAGAACTCAATTCCAGCATACAGGGTGCGGAGAGGAAAACCCCTCTATGAATCGACGGCACTGAACAACTTCACAACAACAACTGAACAGGGTATCAAAGCTTCAGTGCTCTAGGATCAGCTGTGCCGTTACTGGCTGTGAAGCTTCGGCCAAATCTCTCAACCTCTCTGAGACACAGTTTTCCAACATACAAAACATGAGTGGTGCATTCTGACTCCTTTCCTGGTAAGTAAATAAGGGCACAAAAATGTTTATTAAACTAGATTTAAGATGAAATGAAAACTTTCACTGTGGCTGAAATGAGTAAACGGGATCCTACACATGACACCAACTGCTAAGCAAACACAACCCCCCGCCGACAGTGAGTCCTGGCGGCTGTGTGGACACCAGGGTACCGCTCCCCACAGGCTCTTCAGCTGCTCTCTCCAGAAGCCGGTCTCCAGGCCCTTCGTAACAAGAGGCCTCTGCGTGGGTTCCAGCCGCTGACCGTTTGGTTTGTAGCCATGCACTTGACCATTTGCATCTCCTGGGACCCAACTGCTTCTAACTGTTCCCTTGAAATCGAGCTAGAAATACCTCCTCGCACCCCTTTGAAGGGGTAGAAGAACGCCACGAGCAGGTTCATGAGGACGGCCAGGTTGAAGGAGATACTGCTCCAGACGGACATGTTCCGGGCACACCAGTACAGGATGGGCTGGGCTGTGGACAGAGATGGCAGTGAGCGCACGCCTGGTCAGCGTCCACGCCTGGACCACCTGCCCGCCCCCCCAGCTGTCACCACAGATGCCCCATGAGGGCCACATCCATCCCCTCTGCCAGCCCCTCTGGTGTGAAGAGACGGCAGTGTGAGTCCACGCCCAGCCAGCATTTGTGCTTGAACCACCTGCCCGCCCGCCCCCCTGCCACCCCCTCTGGTGTGAACAGAAACGGTAGTGTGAGTCCACGTCCAGTCAGTATCCACACCTGGACCACCTGCCCGCCCCCTGCTGTGACCACAGATGCCCCATGAGGGCCACAACCAGCCCCTCTGGTGTGAACAGAAACAGCAGTGTGAGTCCACATCCGGTCAGCGTCCACTCCTGCACCACCTGCCCCCACAACCCCCTGCGTGACCACAGATGCCCCATGAGGGCCACATCCAGTCAGCGTCCATGCTTGGCCCACCAGCCGCTCTGTCAGGCCCTCTGGTATGAACAGAGATGGGAAATGTGAGTTCCACCCGGTCAGCATCCAGCTCGGCCCACCTGCCCCTCCACCTGCCCTTCTGCTGTGAACACAGGAGGCCTGTGAGTCCATGGCCGGTCTGCATCCACATTCGCCTGCCTGCTTTTTCCCCACAAGCCACTGTTGTTCCCAGCTTTCACCACAGTGGTCGGAACAACCATGCTTTAGGGTTGACTCCTGGTGTCACAGTGACAGCAGACTGGTCCATTCGGTTTGGGATAGTTACTGGACAGGGGCTGCATCTGGGGCCAGAGTGACGGGGAGACAGTTGGCACCACTAGAGACCCTGAGTGCCCATTCAGCACTGTCTTGAATGGAGGCCAGGCTATGTGGGGCTCACCTGAGTCTCTATTCCCTCTCCAGCTCCTGAGCCTGAGGAGGTGTTTCGAGGGGCAAGGAGTCCAGTGGCTTTCTAGAAGGTTGGGGGACATGGGGGGGGCGGAGGCTCAGCATTTCCAGGGACCGGCTGGGCTGCAGATGAGGACCCTCCCACATGCCGGTGCCAAAAGCAGGACCATGGCCACTCTGACAAGGAGACTCTCGCCTGTCCCTGAAGTCCACCCACTCCGGAGTCCAAGAACTGCTGACTGGTTACAATGACAGGGAAACTCTCGCCTGTCCCCGAAGTCGGACCACTCCTGAGCCCCAGAGCTGCTGACTGGCCAGGCGGCGAGACCTCAGTGCCAAAGGTTTGGAGAAGTGATGTCCGGAGGCCACGACAAAGCCCAACACTGACCTGACAGAGATGCACTGTGGGCAGAGCACGTCCCACGACTGCCACCAACTGAACCAGTCTGTGCCGGAGGAGGCACGGAGGGTCACATTCACATGCTGTAGACATGTTTCAGGAGGGACTGGTCTTTTGGAAAAAATATTGTTTGGAAACAGGGGATCAGAGAAAGAGGGAGGCCAGCCAACAAGATGACGTGACACAGGGACAGCAGCGACGGGCTCGGACGTGTCAGAGGGAGAGGATGGCACAGTCCCCAACAAAAACAGCACGCTGGCTGGCCAGTCCCACCTTGGACCCAAACGCCCTGGCCTCCCTCCTGTGTGCAAACACGTCTCCTTTGCCCGAGCTCTTTCTCAATGGTTCTTAACACTTAGAATGACGCTCACAATCTGTGTCCATGCCAGAGGCAAAGTTTCAAAAAGGATTGTCTCATTCAACACTCTCTCTCCAGAGCACGGAGTGTGTGAGAAGGGATCTCCGCTGTGCATTTCTTGTTCCCAATGAAGTCATCACTTAACTTTGGGACAGCAGCCAACGACAAATCCAGCAGCCCTGTAATGAAAGCAATGGCGGCCACTGGGCCCTTGGAAGTATCCTTCCAAAGCACAGCACAGGACGATTACGCAGAGCCCTGGGTGAGTTAGTACTTGCTGGTTTCACATCTGCATGTGGTAAAAGGCAATTTTACTAAACTGTGCACGTCTTCGAGGTGTGAGCAATCACTTGGTTTAAAATCCTTCAATCTAGAAAGGAGAAGTGAGGCCCAGCTGAGGGCAGACGCTGAAGAGATCTCATTACCAGGTCAGTAACTCCCGGTGACCTGGGGCCACTCCGGCAGCGCCACAACCAGCTACTCACGTCACCACTCAACAAAGTAGGTGACCAAGAGGGCATCAACCTTCCCAGTTAGCAAGGTACCCTTTTAGTTAGTTCACTGCTGAAGCCAATGGAGAAGGATGAACTTCCTGTTCTGGAAACAACAGCTATTGATGTCTCTTTTGGGATACAGCCCACATCTGATCAAGATATGAAAATTCCAAGAGGACAGAAGAAATGATTGGCAAGCAATCGAGTGATGACAGCTACAGAAGCTAGTGCTGAGTCCACGGCAACGTAACATCTTCTCTGCTGTCATCTGCGGATCCTGACTCATGGCAGCCTCGTGCATTACAGAGACAACTGCACCACGTGGTGCCTTGTCTGCAGTAACCACAACAAAACCAGACCACCAGGTCCTTCTCCCACAGGGCGGGGTGGGCGTAGGGGTGCTCCACCTGCCAACACGTGGGGTTACAGGCTGAATGCCAACGGCTTACACCACCTACGTACTGTCCTCTCCACACTAGATGACGTACACAAAGTTCACGATAAGAAACTGAGTGCTTCTCCTTTTATAAGAAAACAGCAAAACTCAACAGTGGGTGATGTCACGCTAGAGCTCTCTTTAAAGAGAGCTGACAGTATCAAACACAGGTCATTCACTGTAAAACACAAACTGTTAAATGGTCTTTTGAACTATGGCAAAAGAGCTCACACAGCTTATTTTACAAATCATGTCATTTTCAACAGGGACAGTCTTCAAGATCAGCTGGGTATTTACTGAGTTTTAAATGCTTTAAGAGCCACCCTGACTGTGCACAACACACTCTGACCTGTGTAGGGAAACTGGTCCCAGCTGCCTCCCCAGGGCAGTTCTGGCAAATGTGACGATCACAATGCGAAACACCAAGAAGAAAGTGCAGCATGGACAGTTCTGTCTCAAGGGCCTCTTTTACGTTCTTTGGACATGCTGTCAGGAGACCAGTGCCCAGAGAAAGGTATCTACCATGTTTATGAAGCAGAAGGTTGATGAAGAAGAGGAAGACCCTCAAGGAGCTGGAGCGACATGGGGACTGCCGGTCACCAGCGCAGCCACGCGAGGAGGGCTGACACACAGGCAGAGCTTGGCTGTGTTGGAGGAAGGTTTGCTGAGAACTGGAATCCACTTGACACCGCAGAGCAACACGTTCACTTCTCTGAGGCTAGGATCTAAAGGAAGGATGGCAAGTTGGTTCAGAAAGAGACCAAGATGCATCGACGTGGGTGAGGTCTGTGTACGTGTATGTGTGTGTGTGTGTGATATATGTCAGGAGTGCTTCCCTGGAGCACAGCTGGGAACATCCGTACTTCAGCGGCAGCACGCGGCCACAGCAGTCTCAGAGAGACCCCACTTTGTGACAGCTGGAGCTGCAGGCTTGTTAAAGCACACACTGTCCTTCTGTGGTGCCTTTGGGAAAGGGACAGCAGCCACACAAGGAACCCAGAAAGGGCAGTTCTGCAGACTTATTAGGAGACAGATAAGCTATGAAGCGATAATAAAAATTAAAAATCCCATTTTATTATACTTGCACATCTCATGAGTATATTTATTCTCTTCCTCTATATATGCAAATAATATTTAATCCAGTTATTATTTTTCATTTCTCCCTTACTAGCAGATGGCTTTGAAGCCAATTAAAATCTTTCTGTTGACAAATATAGCTTATGTTTAAGCTTCACTGAAACAAAAGTTACTATTTTTAAGAGGACAAACGTCAGAGAAGGTATTAGTGACCAGACAATGCACATTTTGAGATCATTAAATGGCCATGCTGGAATCAATCAATTTGGTCATCTTGATTAAGGGCTGTTATTCGCCCAAGGTCACCGCACCAGTGGAGGTAAGACAACGGTTGGAGGCCTCATCTCTTGGGCCTTCCTGTATTCTCTCTGAAAGAGGAAAGGCAAGATGTTTGCATCACTAGGAGGGGAGCTTTTTCTGCTCGATTATAAAATCTTGAAGAGGTCACACACACACACATATTTATTTGACAGCTTAATACGCAAGAATACACACATCTTACTAGCCCCATAGATTCCCATGTCACATCATGTGCGCCATGATACGGGCTGTCGAGTCTACAACCCATCACACCTCGCCCCAGCCCGCACGCTCTTCAATCTCCATCCTCAAAGCACTGCTGTCGTCCCTGGATTAATCCCATCACTGAAGGTCTTCAAAGGCAGACCCTCAAACAGCAAGACCTCTGTGTTAAGATTCATAGATTGAAGAGGGTAAAATCAAAGTTTGTTGTGGTTTTTTTTTAAAATTATCTTCTTCTTTTAATGGTATTCTGAATCACAAAGTTCTACATTTTTATCAAGTCCAATTTATCCATTTTCCTGTTACAGATTAAGCTTCTGCTGTCAAATCTAAAAACTGTTGGACAACTAAAGCCAGAAAAAAGAAATGTTACTGTTTTAACAGTTATTTCAGAATTTTTGCTAAGTGAATTCAGAATTACCTTTCCAAACTGGACTTGTGGAATATCCTAGCAAAGGCTGAACACAACAAATAAAAGGAAATTCTCTTCTAATTCATGCAATAGATGGGAATCTGAGATAGGTGCCGGACGATGAGCTGTTCCTCCTTAGACAGAAATGAGAGACAGGAGTGAGGGGAGACGGAGAAGACTGGGAACAGGATTTCTCACAATCCATCCTCTCTGCTACCAGCCAAATCCAGAGCTGAAGGAAGGTCTCAAGGCAGAAGTCAGAGAAACTCCCAAACCCAAGGCTGCTGAATCAGTCGTGACTCAAATGGGCCCAGAGGCCAGAGCAGAAGGGCCCCTTGGAGTCTGCTCGTCTCTAAACTTCCATGGACGTGGACCGTCACAGATCTACCCCCGAGGGGCTGGCTGGCTGATTTCAAATTGGCAGCCTTGGTCCGTGGCTGAGTGCTTCAAGCCTCACACCACCAGTGACCGCTGACGTGGAGGAAACTCACAAGAGACACACGTGTGAACTGGTGGGATGAGGGAGAAGCCGGCCTGCTATCCAGAAAAGGTCCTCCAAGCCTCCCCACTGGCCCACCCCACAGACAGAGCCCTAGGGGTCAGAACTATACTGAGAATCCCAGTGCCAGACGAAACCAGATTCCAGACAGACATCAAGCTCCATCCTTAACCGTGGTCACAACAGCTGATGCCGGAACCGAAGGATCCCATTAAAACTCTAATGAAAACTGGGAGCTGAGATGCCCTCCAGGGAAGCCCCATAAAATGTTTCAGACAAGTCATTTCACCTCAGCTGGCTGGGCTTCTTGACAGGACACACTGGTAAACCACAACTCATCTCATGTGCCAAATGAATCAACACCTATAAAATGACAGTGGAGCCTGAAAACGAAGACACCTGTAAAAGGAAAAACGGCAGAGTCTTCCAGCAGGTGTTCAAGTTCATGAGCAACCAGCCATTGGAGTCCTGCTCAAGTGCATCACCCCATGACTCCAAGGGCCTGCCCTGTTCTCGCCAGTCCAGTCCAGTCCAGTCCAGTGCTGTCTGGAGGAGCCTTGTCAAGGGCCCACTCACCAACCACCAAAGTGCTTACAACTTCCTGTGGTCATGGGTGACAAGAGGAAGTGACACGTGCTCTTGCCGGGGGCCAAATGCCCCCAGGGCCAGGCTCAGCGCGGTGGAACCCACACCGTCTTTGGCACTAGCTGTCTAGAGGGGTGTCCACGTGCACTGACCCACCTCTCAGCTTCTTCTGCCAGTTCATCTCGTTGAAGAGGTCCTCGGAGCGCAGGAAGAAGTCGTTGATCTTGCTGCCCTGCTCATCCCTCTCTGTGGTGTAGTAGATGCGGAGTTTGGACTCCTTGGTGAGGAACTCACATATGCTCGGGACCGGGAAGACAATCTGCTCCATCGTCCGGTCCAACCGCACAATCTGGAAGGAAAACGCAGCTGCGACTCAATGGCCATCTGGAAAAAAGGTACTGGGGCGACGTGGCTTTTGGGCGTGGGCAGTGTCCATGCTGAAGTGCAACCCAGCCCTGCCCCCGAGCTGTCCTTCCAACCACACACTGGGCTGGTCTCTCCTGGTAAGTCTGTAAGAAAGTCTTCTAACCTCAAATGCATTCATTTCATGGTGACTAATTTTTATCTGGAGCAATTTAAACTGAGTTCTTAAAGTCTGGTTTTGGTAAGTCTACAGGAGAAGTTTCCTAACCTCAGATACATTCATTTCGGTGTGACTAATTTTTATCGGGAGCAACTGAAACCATGTTCTTTCGCCCTTATTTAGATGAGAGTCTAGGCTATAGCTGGCCAAGAGAACTGTCTAGAATTCTGGAATGTTCTGTGTCTGAGCTGTCCAGTGCAGTGGCCACTAGACACCAGTAGCTAGCAAGCACTTGTCATCAAGGTTAGTGTGACAAAGAACGTCACAGCTGTCTCGTTCCCTAAAAAGGAGGCAGTCTGGTCTGGAGCGTCTTATCTAGGATGCCATCCGGAGTGATGTCCTGGAAAGCAGAGATGTCGAAGGCGGAAGTACAAGCGAGGCCTGACCTGCCTTTATTCTTCTCCTCAGAGGCTGGAGAGGGTAGGTGAGGCCCCCGGGCAACCTCTCCACATGAAGTCCCAATACCTGTGTTCACTGATGCAGCACAAGAGGCACGTCTCGTCACGCTGCGGCAGGACGCTCAGAGGGAGGCAGCTTCCCACAGTGAGGACACCAAGACCTCTGGGCAGGGAGACCTCTGCGCAAGGAGTGTGGTCTTTAGACCAGAGGTTCCTGATTGAGCTGGGGCCCAGGCCATCGGAGGTGCCATCACAGCTCCGATTCTGACCGGCTTCACTCTGAGGGAGCTGTGGGTGGGGGCTGATGGCTGAATTGGCACATGGACGAGCCTCAGGTGACACTGGTACACCCAGGCTCAGGACCAGCCACCAAGGAGAGCCGGCGCTGACTGCATGCTTTCTTACCCAGAAGGAAAACAACTGAATTCTGTACTCAGGAAGGGATGGAGGAATACAGAGCGTCTGGCACGCTCCAGTTCAAGAGCCGGGGGCTCTCCAGCTTCATTCTCTGACGTGAAGTCACTACAGTGTGAAAGAAACCTCAGCCTCAGCCACACCTTCCTCAAGCATCCGGAGGTGGTGGTCGGCCGTGGGCAGGGCGGGCAAGCTGGGACCCTAGGCCACTTGAGATCGAGCCGTACCTCTCTCTGCTCCACCTATACTGGGAAGCAGCTCACCTTCCAGCCCTCTTCCTTCCTCTAACTGACGGGGGGACCTTGTCCCTATGGACAAGGTCTTGACCACATCAAGCTTCAGTGTTTTACCCAGTGAACCAAGATGTTCACTGACATGACCCCAAGGCTCCACGCTCTTCTGACCTTCTCCACCTCAAATATCTAAAGCTCATCATTCCAGGCTCCGGAGGACAGAGCCGGCCCCTCCACCAAGCCTCCAGTCGTGACAAATAAATCAGGACTGCTCGCTCACACACACCACCAGGGCTGGCAAATCGGGGAAATGGTCCGTTTTACTAGGGTGGCCCAGAGTGGAGACATCAGGTAAGAAGATTCTTGAAAACCATTCACACTGAGCATTTTATTTTGCTTAAAAGAGTGTCAGGCCTTCAAAACCTTAACACCGAACATGTGCATTTCCTCATTAGCAAAACAAGGACCATCACGCCTCACTGCCAGGAGCTTGGCCAGCACTGTCTGGCTGCTCATGGACGCTGGAGTCCACTGCGATGCCTCACGCACTTAGGACTGGACAGACAGAGCCAAGTCCCTGATTTGCCACCAAATGGGGCAGGTCCCGCCTCTCTGCCCTCCCCGGAGAATCCTCCGCAGTGTGGAGATGACACTCTGACCCTGAAGATGAGAGTTTCCTTTTTCAGGACAAGTAATCCCTCATGTAAAATGTACAGCTCCCGGTTGCTGATGAGCACGTCAAAACGTCTCGCAAGGTCAGTTCTGGCGTCTGCAGCGTCCGAGGCGCAGACCTTCGTTTCGTAATCTTTGCCCCTCTCTCTCTCGCTCTCTCGCTAGGTGTCTCAGCTCCTCAGGCTGCACCTGGATGACACCATGTCTGAAGCCCTTCCTGCCAGACTGTCTGTCTGACCCCTACTTTTCCTTCGGGTCTGTGCTTCTGTGGAATTTCTTAGGAACACGCTTCCGTGAGCAGGCCTCCCTGTTAGGTTTGGGACAAGCCTTCCGTTTGGCCTGCACGGCCTCATTAGAATTCATAAAGGAGACAGAATCTGTGGATGTGTCCAAGGTCTGCTTTGTTCTGGATCCTGTGCAGTCATCGCACACCCAGCCTAGACCTTGGAGTCCAGCTCAGCTCACCCCTGCAGGCCCTGCCCAGCCATGGCCCATTTCTCACCACTGCTGCCTCGCTGCACCCTCTGCTCTCACCTCTATCTGAGCCGTGTGCTTGGCGTAGAACTCCAGAGCCTCATCTCCGTCCACCTGGCCTCCGGGTTTCAGCATGGTCTGCAGTTCCTTGTTATGCCGAGCCAACTAGACCCAAGAACAGAACAGGGGGGTCACTGCCTCTTCAGAGAAACACACAGCTCCCTTCCACCTTTGGGCATAAAAATACACCCTAGCCAGAAACGAGGCAAGCAAAGGAGGCTGCTAGGCTCCATCAAGCTGGGCTTTGCACAGTAGCGATTTTGGGAGCTGGCAGAACTGATGGAGCTTCATGCCACGTCATGTCTAGCTTGCTCCTGACCTCTTCAGCCAGGTGGGAAGGGTTAGGGCTTTCTGGACAGTCGCTTAGAGCCTCCATTATGATCACTTAGTTGACTAAATGCTGGGAATAGTGGGCAGCAGACTGGTTTATATTCTCCAGCCATGATGGATGTTAAAAAGCAGCAGAGCAAGGATGTCAGTTTAAGGACTAAGGTGTGCCTGATCCAAGCCACGGGTACGGCAGTTCCTTCCAGTACATCTCTAAGATGGATAATAAAGAAGAATGACAGAAGAAGAATCTATGCCTCTGAACTGCATTGCTGGCAAAGAGTGTATCCCTGAACTGCCAAAACAAACAGGACTGTCCTGGAGGAAGGGCATCCAAGGTGCTTCTTACAGGCAGGGGGGGTGGGTACCTTGGTCCTGGACTTGGGGCATGTTGTGAGGAGGGACCAGCCCAAGCTGGAAAAGGGGGAGAATTGGACCTAGAGAGGAAGACCCTCAACAAGACGGGTCGACCCAGTGACTGTAATGACAGGCTCATCAGAGGTGGTGAGGGTGGTCCAGGGCAGGGCCAAATTCAGGGCTGTTGTTCCCAGGGTTGCCGTGAGTGGCCTTCAACTTGACAGCACCTGACGAGGAGGAGGAACTGCCAAGCTCAGGGTCAATACCCGACGCCCCAGTCTTGTTGGTTAGCAGACTATGACCCACAGTTGACCCCCCGGGGGTTGGAGCAGAGCTGGTCCTGAGTGTTTTCAGCGGGGGATCCTTCAGAAGTCGACCACCACGCCGCTCTTCTCAGGCATCTGTAAACTTGAACACCCAACCTCCTGAGAGCAGTGGGGTTGTGACCTCAGACACCCTGGGAATCCCAGGTCAATAGGATCGTGATTTTATGTCTAGCTCCTGTAACTGAGGTTAAAGAGGTAAAAAATATTTTTAATTTAAAAAAGGTAGAATGGACAGGAGAAACAAGTGTCCACTGGAGTTCAGACAGTCCAGGCAGAGCTCAGAAAGGACATCAACATCCAGAAAGGGGAAGTGTCTTCAAAGGCCCAGCCACCTGGGAAGAGAATTATGAAACATGGCATATGATGCCAGAGCGTAAGGCCTACAGCCCACAGGAGGCAAACGAAGGAGGCTTAGCCCCGAGTTCCCAAGATTTCCAAATGTAACAGCAAGGAAGCAGAAGTCTACTTCGCAGATTGTTAAGAAAACACATTAATATGTATGAAAAGCCCAAGATGCCTTTCAATTGTCTCCAGATAATGTCATAAAACATTACATGCCACTGCTCAGTGGTGGATGGCTTTTAAGAAACACAGGAGTTTGCAAGTACATGACCCAAGCACCCCTGTGCTCCAGATGGAACATTCTGGAGCCGGGCATCAGGCAGCCAGTCCTCGGGAGCCCAGGAGTCTCAAGAGCCAGCAATCTGGGCTGAAACCCCAACAGGGAAGCAAGTGTGGAGGCGTCCAGTGTGGAGATGGGGCAGCGCTGGAGGGTCCTACCTGATGGGCAAGGATATAGATGTTGTGGCCTACGTTCCGGGGCGACGCCGCTCCGTCCTCAGCATTTTCTCCATCCTCAAACTCCACCTCGCCTTGCATGTAGGCCTTCTTGATCACCTCCACCTGTGAGAAGGGCCCGGGAGCCCAGCTGTGGGCCAGGGAAGACCCTGACAGCACTAGCAGAGCCCACTCACACAAGAGACCTTGGAATCTTTCGTGAGGTCATCGTGACACCCACCAACCCCCTCCTCCGACGTGAAGAACGGGGCCCGTCACCTGACTCAAGAGGGCCTGCAGCTGGTTCTTACCTTCTACGCTAAAGGGGCCTGTGGGCAATCAGAGCCCCTCAGTCCAGTGTGACACAGTGTGGGCGAGGGGTCACACTCTCCTCTTACATCTCTTCCCAGCTTCAAGTTTTCAAGAAATCCACTCGCTCTTAGAATAGGGTGGGAATGTGATTTCTCTGACTCCAAGGACATCCTTGTCCTCACCGCCCAATACATAAGAAAAACACCACCACCAACTCTGGCGGCCTACTGGTAAGGAGCTGCACTGCAATCCCAAAAGCACACAGTTCGAATCTACCAGCTGCTTTTGTGGGAGAAGGATGGGCAATCTCCTCCTGATTTATGCCTCTGAAAACCAGCTGGAGGGTCAGCTATGGGTGGGTTCTGACTCAAATGCACCACATAAGAAGCTACACCCACCGGGCATGTCCTATGTATCAAGCGCTATCCGCGGCGTCTCAGTATTAGCATTAAGAATTGGCAGCCCACACACATTTAACGAGGGCTCATTAGTCCCATTTTTTGTTGTGAACAGATTCAGAGCCTGGTCACATGGCTGGTCCGTCCAGCTGCCTTCACGGGTGCAGGACCCACATATTCAGCCTGTCCTATTCTTGGAGGCCCACTCTCAAACATCTCTGGGCCTCACCTGGTGCCCACCCCAGTGTCCAGTCAAATGCCTGGGACTCCAGTGTCTGGTACAATGGCTGAGACCCCAGTGTTCAGTACAAAGCCCAGACAGAATCCCAGAGGGTGGGGCACCCAAGACACTGGGTGGACATTCCCCACCCCAGGCTGTGCTGTACAGGAGTGTGGGGGGACGACTCAAAGGAACCTGACTGGAGTCTCCTTAAAGCTGCTGCCCCCTTGCCTGAGGGCAGTAAATCCTGACCCTTCTCCCAGGCTGTTACATAAGCTGTTATGTAAACTTGAGAGGCTGTCCAGCATGGACTGGCCCCAGGAATGAAAGGCCTGTGCTCCCGTCCACTGTATTTAAGGCAATAATGAGTGGACTTCAGCCCTGCCCCAAGCGAACACTGAGGTCACGGGAGGCAGAAAGGCTGAATTGAATGCCCTCGTTTCTATCGGCCAGATCCTCTATTTGCACGGGAAGAAGTCCAAATCGGGAGGTGCTGTTCAGCTTGCCCACTGTCTCCGACAGCGGCTTGTCTTACTGGCTGCAAACATCACCCTCAAAAAGAAATAGGATCATGCTTCTTTAAAACTAAAAATCAACCGCAACCCAATGCCCTCTGGCTGCCCAGACTGCTGGCTTTGAAGCAAGCTGAGGTCTGCAGGCGGCCGGAGGTGCCGAAAGACCAGCAGTGAAGCAGGGGTCAGCAAAGTGCCTGGGTCCCTCTGGTCGCCAACCGCGGAGGGTCTGGCAGGAATTCTCTTCCAGTCATCAGAGCAACCCTCTAGGTGAGACATCATCATCTCCCCTTCACAGGTCAGGAAGATACCGCTTCGAGGGCTCCAGGGACACAGACCAAACAGGCAGCACTAGGGGCTTGAACCCTGACTGGTCCTTGCTGTGACCACACCACACTGCCCCCCCACGAGGAGAAAGGAGGTGGGGCTTCCCTGGGTGACTGCCTGGGGGGGCGGGGCGGTACACACTATTCAACGCACCACTTCTCTCAAGGGAACTCTAGTGGTCTACTGGGGAAGGAGCCACACTGCCAATCCAAAGGCCTAGAGTTTGAATCCCCCAGTGGCCCTTTGGGATGAAGATGGGCAATCTCCTCCTCTGCAGCTTACAGCCTCTGAGAGCGAGCTGGAGGGTCAGCTGGGAGTCAGTTCTGACTAACAGCACAGAGCAGGGACTCACTTCTCCACCCGCGGAGACCAGGATTTAAGGTTCCCACTGTACATCTGAATTTGGGGACCTGCGAGGAAGCCTTCCCGGTTGTGCCGCCATCGGGGTTCACGGCCACCCACTCACCAGCTCCTTGGGCCGCATGTTGTACAGGATACGCTCTGCATTCTCGCTGTCGTGTCTGCTCTCCATGATGGCCAGGAGCAGCTTCGAAGCGTTGTTCTAAGAGACAGAGGGGCGACATGGGCCAGCTGCGCACGGTGACCCACAGGAGCCCACGAGCCGGCTGGCACCCGTAACCTGCTGGACGGATGCGCAGTCCACCAGGGGACTAGCTCCTGCCAGGCACGCCAACACCATCACCACCTGACAGGATGTACCAGCTTGAACCCCAGAAACGCATCTACAGAGCATGAATTAGGTAAAAAGCTGGCACCCTGCTATGTCTACAAATTGGCCCCCAAAGTGTCAAAGGGGACCTGTGTTCCATAGAGTTGTCACACCGGGAATTTAAAAGAAGGTCATTGAGTTTTTCTTCCAAGATACCCGAGTGGATCCGAACCACTAACCATGTGGTCAGCAGACAGTGTGTTAACCTCCCGTCACCCAGAGTTGGGTCAAAGAGGTACTGACTTGTTTGGGGAGGGTTTTGTCCTAAAGTTACCTGGAACAAATCTGAAGTGGAAAAGGGAAATTTAAACCTCAGAGCTCTGACATGTCACTCTAGTGACTGTGGTCAGGAGTAGTCTGCCATTGAGATGGTGCGTCTCGGTGGACAGGCACCAAGAGCACCAGTGCCCGTGAAAGGCAGGCACGAGGCCTTTCCTGCCTGTTGTTAAGTAGTCCTGTCAGCCCAGGTAGGTCCCAGTTACATGAGGGCGCACCTGACACCAGCTAAAGTGACCCAGTCGGTCCACATGTAACAAGCCCTGGTGTCCAGTTCCATGCTCAAGCACTTACACCTGCATTTCTCTTGGTTTGCCTTCCCTTTAGGTCCTGCATCTACGGCAATCAGCATGCTGGCATATCCTCCAGTTTCTGTGCCGTCCAGTCAAGGACCACTCAGAGCACCTCACGGTGTTTCCAAGGTCGTGAAAGTGTTAGCAGAAGCGGCTGCTTCACATCTATCCCATGGAACAGCTAATGGGTCTGAACACTGCCTGGCGGGCTTACGCTTGAGTGCTTTAAGCACCACGTCACTAGGGTTCCCATTTGTTTGTCTGTAGGACTCACAGCTTGTTACTGTTGTCTTGGGGGGCATTTACCACTCTCTAAGCCTAAGTCATAGCCGTTCAGCCAGGTGGCTAGGCTTTCTAATGGCCGTGGCATGCCTTGGGAGATTCCGAGGGCGGCCAGCCCAGAACGCCATGGAGATGGTGAACGGCAACGGGCAGGGGTCTCAGGCCCTCACAGGTCCCTCCAGCACACACAGGTGACAGCAGCCAGGCAGGAGCAGAAGGAAGGTCACGTCAAGGTGGTCAAAATATGTCAAAAGGGGTTAAAAAGCAACATGAAATCTCATTTAATTGCTCACCCAAATGAGCTCTCGGTGTGAATTCTCAGTTCTAAACACTGAAAGGTAAACAAACCCCTCACCCAGGGACCGTGGGCTTTTGCTAACACCTTCCCCGGCAAACCTCTCTGTGGTGACATCTTTCAAGCAATAAACACGGACCAGCTTTCTGGCTAAAACCTGAGTTCTGGGTCTTGCTGTGACAATGCTAAGTGTCTGTGCCTCGGAGGTTAAGTCCCAACAGACTCCACTGTGGGAACTGCTCAAAAGGAAACATGCAGTGAACCCTTTCAACGTGTCTTCTGACATCAGGATGGGTTCCAAGGCCAGTTCTCAGAACTGAACCTCTAAATTCCTAGAGAATCTTGGAAACTGTTAACCAGGATTGAGAATTGCTGGGGCACTAAGGTAGCTGACACTGTGAGCTTCTCCAGCGTCCGAGAGGCCAGCTTTGGAGCCCAGCAGCTAAAGCTACCACTTCCCTTCTAGAAACTATCTTGGTATTGGAGGAAGTCAGAACATCAGCGGTGTTCCAACATCGGTCACCTGGGTCCATCCACACGGACAGGCACCTCCATGGGCCACGCGACACTCCTCTCAATACAACCAACACTGGACAAACATCTGTGTCAACCAGTTATGACAACACTAGCTGGGAAGGACATGCCTACTCGTGGTGACCCCAGGGCGTGAGAGCAAGACTGTGCCCTCCCAGGGCTTCCAGAACGGACTTTTCAGAGGTGGGCGGACCACTCGTTTTCCTCGGGCATCTCTGCATGGGCATCTCAGTCTTGCAGTTAGCGGCCAGTCGCATTAACTGCTGGACCCGAGCAGTCAAAACAGCGCCGAGAAACGACAGCGGCTGATAAAGTACATGCAACTTTTTTTTGGTGTTGGGTAGACCTAGTTGTTCCTCAACTGACCCCTTTTCCTCAAAGAGGAGGAGGATCTGGAACCACAGAGGAAATGAGGCTCCCACATTTCTGTTGGTGGCTTTCAGAATCATCACTGCAGGGTCTCAGCTGCCGTGTGAACTCAGGTCTCACTTTTGAGTGATGCACTGTCATCTGATGCGACTTAACACTGAAGAGGTGGCATCCTGTCAGAAGACCCTCATTTGGAAGAGGAAGCTGAGGCTCTGTGTTTTAGTCAGAGCTTCTAATTTGGGTCACTCATTTAAGCAAAATGATCATCTTCAGTGTCTGGTCGGGCAACAGTGACCACGTCATGCGCAGAGGCGAACCCTGAGCACGTGAGAGCCCACCGCCTCTCCGCTCAGTCCCTACTTGCCTTGAGCTCCAGCACGAGGTCCATCCTCTTCTTGCCCAGGGGATTGATGTCGTTGAGGATCAGGGCTGTGATGATGTCGATGCCGTTCGACTCATGGGTGGCAATGCAGTTCTGAGCAAAAAGACACACAGCACAACAGCGTGGACATCAGATAGCAGTCCAGCACCAAGAGCTGCCATGTCTACAACCCGCGCCACTCCCAGTGCTGCCTCTCGAGGAGAGCTGCAAATTTCCGTGAGAACGTGGTAAAAAGAAAAGACAGATGAAAATCTCTAGTTTCAGAATGAACAGAAAAGCAGGAAAGTCCCCATGCACCATAACTGATAAACTGGCCAGGTCGGATCCAGGCAGTGAGGGGCAGTCTGCTTCTGTTCTCAAGAGGAAACATTCTGTACAACTGGGGCGAGTTCCCAGCCCGGCTCCCCTCGAGGGGCGCTCCACTCTCCCCACATCACTCGCTGTTCACGTTTCAGAGCTGTGCTCAAGGCTGAAGTGGGAAGCCAGTTTCCTGTCTAATTTACGCATTATCGACCTCCATTTACAGCCGAGCCTGCTCTGTCCACAGACCTGTGTGCCAGAAATGCAGACTGGGGTTGTCAGGAAACTCACCGAGAGGCCAGATAAAACCTAAACCTGTGTGTTTTGCTGCTGTTGCTCTTACCATGGACGGCACTGCCTGCCTCTGAAGGAGGGGAGCGTGGATATGACAGAGCTAATGTCACGCACCTGCAGAGCTCAGGGCAGGGTGTCGCCCCTCTCCTTCAAGGGTGCCCACCTTCCCCCGCGACACACCTCCCTGAGCACTGGCACAGCACAGCCAGGACAGAGCCAACACGGAGTTCAAAATCAGCCTCATGGCAGCACTGTGCGAAAGCTCACACAATCTGGAAGACAGATTTTTCTGGAAGACAGATTTTCCTGCTCAAGAAAAGCAAAGAATAGGCTGGACCCAGAATATACACAGGGCCACACTCATTACTGGCTAGTTCTTCATTCTAGACCTTGGCATCTGTGCTGTGTTCTACACACACACGTGCACATTCTCATGCTTCACCTCTCATGGCTCAAGCAGGGCCACGTTACTTTTAAGTGGTCTCCTGAGAAGCAGGTCTGCCCTCTTGTTAAGTGACCTTCTGAGTGTCTCAGCATTTAAGGCACAGCCCAGGAGCCCAGCTCTGCCCCACTGCCAATCACCAAAGGCCAAGCTGGCATCAGACACTCGGACCAAACCGCATGAGGCTACTAGAGGGAGGCCCACGACGCCCACCACCTGGCAAGGCCCTCGGGGGCCTGCCGCACAGGGTCTCGCTCGGAGCCTCTTCCTCCCAGGCCAGGGGCAGGCGCTGGGAGGCCAAGTCCCCGCCAACAACATCTCCGGCACGAGTTTCCCTAAAGGCAGGCGGGTACCTGGTTCTCGTGGCAGGGCCCCTGGCAGTACTCGGTCAGACTCTCCAGGGTCTGGTTGATCAGCGCCACGTTCTTTTCGTTGATGTACAGCCCGAGAAGACCGAGCCCGCCGGTGGTGCTTCCACAAATACAGTCCAGGAACTGCAGGGTCTCACACACCAGATTATAGTTGGTCTTATTATTTTGGCAACGAAGGAAATTCTGTAATTAGGAGGCGCAGGACAGGGAGAAGATGAGAAAGGTCAGTCGTGTTGACATTCTGAATATCCCACAAGTGGGGCACTTTGAATTATACAGCGAGATGCCACGCTGGACAGACCAGTCATCAACCTGGCCTCCCACGAGCGGTCAGCTGTGGACTTGGCCTCTGGTGACGGTCATCAGCACTGTGACAGGCTCACCAAACATGGAGGAAGGATCCTCCTTGACCACTCATTACAGATTCTTATAAAACTCACTGACCTCAGGGGGAATCACAGGGCCACACAATTTGATGGGTGGAGGGAGCCAATAAAGGAAATGGGAAAGATACGGGGGCGGGTGGGGGACCTGAAAAGATGGGGTAATGGTGGGCATAATTTAGTGGGGATTATTTTACAAAATACAACTTATGAGAATAAATTAATATTTCATTGTATGAAATACAATGTGAAGGAAGGAAAGTGTGAAACACAATGTATATGAGTTTTGTATGAATCGATATAAAAGAAAAATTTTAAAACTCCTCACTGCCCTCAAGTCCGAACAAACTCACAGCGGAGCCTCCAGTGGATCTGCAGAGGAGGAGAGTGCCCAGCTTTATCCCTTGGAGCAGCTAGTGGATTTGAACCACCAGACTTTGCGTTGGGAGTGCAATTCTGTACCCACTAGGCCACCAGAGCTCCCTTCTCGTATTATTTCTTTACTCAGCTCTTATCCATTTTCCTGCTTGCTAACTCCTCTACTGTCACCGACATCGGCGAGGTCAGTGTTGTGCTTTACAGACAACAAAGGATTTGTGAACCAAACGTAACAAGGATGAACACAGGACATTACGCTGAGTAAAAGGAGTTGGTCAGAAAAGAGCAACTACTCCACAAGACCATTATTACAAAGTTACACAGACAAGTTCGTACTAGAGTGGTCACCAGGGAGGGGAGAGGAGAGGGTGTAAAGTTCATGAACAGACTAGGAAGAGCTGGGGGCAGAGAAAGTCCGGAAAGAGGCTGATCAGACACTGCAGGGATTGCAGTGAAGGACGGAAGACAACGTGCTCTGTGAGCTTCCCCCCAAATCACCACTGAACAAAAACCCAGCAGTGAGCCGGTGGGCTAGTCTGGGTGCTGAACGTCCAGGATTAGCATCATGAGGTCAGTAGGGGTCACGCCGAGTGGATGGCAACTAATACAACAGCAGGCGGGACAGACGACTGACTGGCCGCCACAGGGAGCCACAGCAGATCCCACCCCCACGACGGTCTGGCTCGTTTCTGGAGGAAGATGCCTCTGTGTTAGGGCCACCATGTGGGGTGAGGGAGGACCCTCTGGTCAGCACCATGGAATGCTCCTTCCTCTGTCAGCTGGGTACCCTCTGCCTGGGACGTGGGCAAAGCCTCTTCTGGGAGGGGCTTCGTGGGCTCCCCTCGGGACATCTCCCCCTGAGCTTGAGTCTGCTGGCTCCCCGGCACGTCCACCGGCTAACGCAGAGAGAGTCACGCAGGAAAGGTCACTGGGCCCTCACTGCCGCTGCAGCGGACTCTCCATCAGTGTCCGAGGCTCTAGCTCGCATGGCAAGAGGTGGCCCATCTCTGTCCCGTGGAACTGCAAGCGCACTTGAACCACAAGAGAAGCTTGGCCTTTAGTGACCAGCACAGTCTCGATGGACTATGCCCCAGAGCTCTATCAGGTGCCTACAAATGGCCGGACATGATCTAAATCAAATGGTGTAGACAGAGAAGGGGACTTGGGCAGCTACTGAGTGGCCAGGAGCACACATTTCAGGTCGCCCTGAAGGATGGTGTCCTGGAAAGCATCTTCGAAACCTCACCCTTCCACCATGTCCACCTGGAACCACCCATCTCCGACATGGAGTGACTATTTCCTCTCATCCTTTACCAAAGGGAAGCAAGCCAGTCGCTGGAAGGTGGCCTGTGTGCCAGGGGAGATAATCAGCCGTTGCACAGACCACCCTGGTCTTGTCCAGGCAGAGAAATCTCTTCCTCCTGTGGCCTACCTGGGAGGCCGTCAGCTGTGTTGAGACGGAAGGTGAAGGAACCGCGACGGCCTTCACAGAGGCCCTGAAATCCATGTTTACGCAGACTTAGGTGGAGAGAGAGTAGGACCTGCCTTCACGCACCCAGAGAAAAAGCAAAGCCAGCTCCCCGGCAAGTGAACACTGAGACACACACATGAACTAGCTCTCAGTCTTCCCTCAACGTCCGCACTCCTCAACAAGGCTTGCTGAAGGCAGCAACTGCCAATCTGGCAAAGGAAACTGGAAGCTTTACCACTACTGAACGTTTACCAACAGGAGTGCCAGGCCTCTCAGCGCGACAAGGCACTCGGGGCTGGGGTCCAACTCCCCCAGCTTCTCTGCATTTCTTTACAACAACCCTAACCAGGCCAGCTGTCACCCACCTCGCAGCGGCCCACGTGGTCAGAGCAGAGATCTGGGTTTTCCATCGCTGGGCCTTCAGGAAGCAGACCACCAGGCCCTCCCTCCGAGGTGCCTCTGGGGAGCTGCAAGCCCCCAACCTCTCAGCAGTTCAGCGCTCACCTGCCAGCGCCGCCTCAGGAGCCTGGAATTCCATCCTGGTGAGAATGCTTCCTCCTCTCCAGGACCCACAAGGAGACCTGACACGGTGCTCAACGCTCTGCTCAGAAACGGCGACAGGGTGGAAGGCAGAGTTCTTCACACCATCTGAACGTATCACTGAAGGCTGACTCCCTTCAAGGGTAATTCCAGGGGGAGGCTGACATCTCAGAGAGCTGGACTGGACAGGATACTAGAGGATGCTCACTTCTGGAAAGATCTCATGAAAAGGTGCTTCTGCCCAGGCCCTCAGGGCGTCAGTCCTAAAGGAGGTTTTGTGAGGCGCTCACATATACAACGGAAATGATGAAGACTCCTCAGTGATGAGGTCATGAAGGTCCTACTCTTCCAATGGTGGAAGCTGAGTGGCCTCTGAAGATGGGAGGGTCAGAGAGAGATGGAGACCAGGGAGGGAGTGAAAAGAACTTGTTTTGAAACACACACCTTAGCACTGCCCCTTGGCCATCTGGGGATTAGACTCAAATAGTCCAGTGTTTGGCTGAAACAAAACTTGACCAAGCATGTCACTCTTCTGAGCCTGGAACTGAGCAGGGCAGGCGAGCCCCCTCTTCGGTACTCAGTCTGTTAGGTGTCACCTGTCACCTGTCCTGTGACCTCCAGCAGTCCAACCAGTCCTGCCCAGGTCTCCTTTCTGGGCAGGGGCGAGCAGGGTGGGGCACAGGGGGCACCCCAGTGCTGGTACAAGCAATCCCTCACCAATAGTCATTAAACGGGCGGACACAGACAACATCACAACTACTTCCTGTCTGGAGCCTGAGGCGGAGGAGACCAGTTACACCTGCATCGGGTTGTAGAGCGCCCTGGTTGCAAAGTGTGCACCGTGGAAGCCTGCTGAGAGGTGACGACTGAAATCCCCCTGAGGTCTGTGGGAGGAAGGCGAGCATTCCCTCCGGAGCAGATGCTGGAGACCGGGCGGACAATCTCTTTAGTCAGAATCCAGCCGTTGGCACTGGGAGGCGGACATCAGGTGACTGATGGCCACAATGGGCCCAGAGAGCCCACGCCATGGAGATGCCACAGCTGCGCTCCACGGCTTTGTGTTCTCGGGGGAAGATGGTCTGGCCTCCTGTGGAGTCATCCACTCCCTCAGCCCAGCTTCTTTGTGACCTCAGTGCCGACACAGCAACACGTGCAGCAGCAGGGTCAGGACCAGCCACTGCGGACCAGAAGCCAAGCCTGCGAGTCAGCGAACCCTCCACCTTCGGGCTGCGAGCGCTTGGCTCTGCTTGGCAGGACTGAGCACCCCAGGCACTGATCCAGGGCGTGAGGTTCTCAGCCTGCAGGAGAGGTGGGGCACCCGGCGAGAAGCGCTGTGGTCACACCGACTTTATTTTAATAAAGAATTCAGAGGCCCCAAAACCTTGAAAACCGCTGAGTGGGATGACCTTTCAGGAGCTTTCAAATTTTTATTTCTGGTGAGAGCAGCAAAGCTCACGGATCTGAACGGAGCAGGGCAGAGCCCCTGTGTAGAGTGGCCTGTGGTCTAGTGGCCTCGTGGAGCAGAACGGAGCAGGGCAGAGCCCCTCTGCAGGGACAACCTGCGGGTCAGTGGGCTCACAGAGCAGAACGGAGCAGGCAGAGCCTCTGTGCGGGGGCAGGCTGTGGGCTAGAGGGCTCGTTGAATGCCGAGTATTGCTGAGTCAGAACCAACCCATAGCTGACCCTCCGGAGACTTTTCTAAGGCTGTAAATCACACAGGAGGACCTTGCCCATCCTTCTCCACAGAGCAGCTGGTAGATTTGAACCACGTGCCTTTGAGCTGGCAACACACTTCTTACCACTAAGCTGCTCGAGTTCCCAAGTACCACAGTTTTCTGTGAAATCACAGTCTTCAAAGATGGGGCAGATCTGGCTGGTGGATGCTTTCAAAGCTAAATGTTTGAAATTGTGATCTTAGCGCAAGTTTACAAGGAGACTGGTTTTGTAGTCACCAATTCATACACAAGTTCCTTGCCTCCCTCCCCAATTCCCTTTGTAATACTTGTCCTGTTCCAGATGGTAAACTGTCAAACATACAATGTCTAACTGTCCAAGGATAATGAACACTGCACTGGAATAATGTGACTTTAAAATCCTGCCTCTTAAGACCAATTGGACTAAAAACAGCTGCTACCAAACCAAGAAAACCCATAGGTGCAGAGTCCAGACAGCGGTGAGGAGCCACGAGTCCACGATAACTCACAGTGATCGTCAACAGCAGGTCTGAGCTTTGCCTTATGCAGCAACGTCCTCACGGTCTGACAGCGTTCCAGTCACTGAGTCCATCCAGCCTGGCGAGGGGCCTCCACGCCTCTGACCCTCCACCCTTCCTAGCATTGTGTCTTTTCCCTGACTAGCCCATCCTGACAATGTCAAGTGGGAAGGGGGGGGAAGGCCCCGCCCTCCTTGCATCTAAGGAGCACTCTGGTTGTACGTCCTCTAGGTCAGTCAGTTTGCTCCTCTTGCAGTCCAGGGGGTACGCAGTGCTCTTCTCCAACACACTTCTTCATCAGTTCCCGAGTCACTGTCCAGCTTTCAGAAGCAGAGAGAGCAAATAAAACACCATCCCCCAGATGGGTCACCTAGTTCCACCTCACTGCTCTGTCTTACTACTCAACGACTATCATGTCTTGCTCACTTCATCTCTTGGTGGCATCTGTGGGGTTTCAGATCGAGCACTGGCTGCAGCCCCAATGAGCACAGTGGGACGGGGGTGGATCTCAAGTCACAGGCGGAGAGATTCACCAGTGCAAATATTTAAAGGCTGCATCTTCCTTGCCAGCCTTGGACTAGAATCACTTCCTTTCTGTATCCTGAAACCTTCAAACCATGAATCACCATGACTCAAGTACACAGAACAACTGCTGCCAACTTGTTTATTTTAGGAGGAAACGTTTCAGTCCTCAGAAAAGTTGTTCAAACACGATTTTATTATGACGTCTTTTCTTTCATCCTCATATCACCATCAAGATGGACAGGGTGGTTTCCCAGGTCCAAGACTCAGAAGCAAAGCTCAACAGAGATTACTGACTCAGTCCTCCAGACCCCATTCTCCTGAGGAAGCACCAAAGAGCCTGTTTTCCCGAGAGCACTAAGAGCCCCATCTTTCTGATAAAGAACCACAAACCCTATCCTCCCAACAGAGCCAAGGACCTCACTCTCCTAAGAGAGAACCGACGACCTCCTGAGAGAAACCCTGTCCTCCTGAGGGGACCACGGACCCCGTCCTCCTGAGGGGACACAAACCTTAGGGCCACATGGAAGGCATCTCTGAATCAGAACTGACTCAATGGCTGTGAATCTGAGGTTTCCTCAAATGAGCCTTTGCTGCTGGACAACGCTACAGGGGAAATACGCTCCGTCATAGCACAGTAGTTAGTTCTGGCAATAGACTGCCTAAGTTCGAGGCCCACTTCACTGTGCCCTCTTCACCTCCGTTTCCTCATCTGTTAAATGTGGACAGTAACAGAACATCTAGCATCACACACGTTCTTAGTGTTCCATAAACCTTGCCCACAATCATCCAGGGGAAAAACAACACGTGATTCCTGGAATTGTGGGTTCAGAAAGCACTTACTCTGGAACACTCTGTCAAGTAAAACTCTAGAAGGTTACTTTTCATTCAAGAAACAAATATTTAAAAGAACTGTCTACCAGATTTGTTCAGTCTGATATATTTAACATATTTAATCATCTAGCCATACCTAACACCTATCTACATGCCAATCAGTGTCAGCCTACAAGCCACAAGCGTGTGTGCTGACTTCTGTGCAGTACGGCAGTTACAGCGAACTGCTCAGCAGAACGGTTCATTGTGCTTTATGGTTCACTGTGACTCAGGACAGTGGCTGCGTCGGAGAAGTGCTCTGGAGAGCTTCAGGAACTTTGCAGAAGTAGATGGTCGGGTTTCTGCGGGGACTAGAACAGTCAACCCTTCTGTTATCACTGAGCACCATAACCATTTACGCCACCCAGGGCCTCTATCACACACACATCTACAGAGTGTGTCCACAGGTGGTGTGGCCCACAGCCTTGCGAATCCCAAGGCAGCTCCTGTCTGGTCATTCAAGCCCCCCAGGTGCCCTGCAGGAGAAAGCTGGGCGATCTCCTCTGTGGGATCTGCAGCCTTGGAAACCCGTGGAAGGCTCAGCTGTGAGGCATTCGGACTGATAGCTGGCCTGTCCACAGAGCACGGAGCCCTGAGGGAGGAGTGGGAACCTGGTGGATAAGGGGATGGGAGTGGGGTCTGTGGAGCAGGCACCACCGTGTGGCGACACTGTGGAGACAGGGACACCCTGCTGGCGGCTGAGCTCCCTGACGCTGACAGGCTGACATGGAAGCCGCGCGGCCCTCACCTGCAGGTCCCTATTATGGTTCTCACACAGCAACTGCAGGAAGCGCAGGATCGGCTGCATGATGGTAATGACCGCACTCATCTCCAGGTCGTCTTTCGTCTTGTCCGTGGTGGTCTGGGTGCCCTCCCCTGACTGGTAGTGGTCTTCGGGGTCAGCCTCCCTCCGGAAGGTGGAGAAGGCCTTCCTGGTGGCAGCCGAGGCCTCGAGGAGCTGGTCCCGGGTCTCCTCGCTGATCTGTGTGGTGGGCTCTTTGGCTGGGAGACAAGCAGAGAAGAGTGAATGCCACGCAACCCTCAGCAGTGTCGTGCTGCACACAAACTGGGTTCAGCATCAGTAAAGTCCCTGCTTCTCAGAGATGCTCAGAGCACGCAGAGGACAGCACAGCGCCACCTGCTCTCAGTCCCCAGACTGGACTAAAGCACATCCACCCACCAGGTGTTCCAAGCACAGCGTTTCCGCTAGGCCTGCCCTTACTGTGGAGGAAAAGGCACAGCGCAGGTTCTGCACACCCCATCCACGTACGGTTCAGGGCTTCCGTCTCCTCATCTGTAAAGCAGAGCGAGCCCTGGGGGACCTGACCTTGGAGAGCTGACCTTGGAGAGCTGATGGGAGGGTTCCACACAACACTAATCACAACAGTAATTGTTACAGCAACGACAACTGAGCACCCAAATACCAAAGCGCTGTGACTGAGCCTGTACACGAGTGCTCATGGGAGCCTCCAGTCTGAGGACTAAGGTGCGTCTGAGTCAGGCCATGCTCTTTCCAATCTCCCGCTATGCATCTGAGAGCTGGACAATGAAGGAGGATGAGAGAAGAATTGACGCCTTTGAGCTGTGGTGTTGGAGAAGAGCACTGAACATCCCACGGACGGCCAAGAGAACAAACATGCCTTGTAGAAAGTGCAGCCAGAGTGCTCTTTGGAGGCAAGAATGATGAGGCTTTGCCTCACACACTTTGGACATACTGTTAAGACGGGCTGTTCCATGGAGATGGACGTGAGGCTGGGAACGTTAGAGGGTTAGTGAAAGAGAGGAAGGCCCTCGACATGACATATTGACATGGTGACTGCTGCAGGGGCTCCAGTGTGTTCAGGAACTGTGAGGATGGCACAGGATAGGAAGGTTACTCACAGGGTCACTGTTCGTTGTGCTCGACTCGACAGCACCTAACAAGCTCCCACCTCCTCAGGTGACCTGTGAGGTCTAATAGGCATTGCAGCCAGGAGGGTAGACCACAGACTGCCTGGGCTAGCGGCCAGAGCTCTGCCATGAACCACACACCCTCACCAAGTCAGTTACCTTATCTGTACCTTGGTTTCCTCATTTGTAAAATGGGGATGATAATGTTAACCTATTTTACACAGTTAACCTGAGTTTGAAAAGAGTTCATGGAATGAACTCTGAACAGAACAGTGCCTGGAACACAGGAGACGCTGAGTGAATGTTAATCATTTGTCTTTTTCTACTCCTTTTTCACCAAAAGACAGTCCATGAGACAAGGATCACGCTGAGGTCGAGAAGCCAAAACTTCAACACAAAAATTGAGTTTCAAAGCTAGTAACTATCAGGGTGGGGGCAGCCTGACTCTAGCACTGCGGTGGTCGGCCACTGGCCAGGACGACTTCTCCTCAGAGAGAACAGACAGAGAAAAAGCTAGAGGATTTTTCCAATACCTGGGAACAGGGGAGAGTGAGTCGACTGACCAGTCACAGCTGGTTTCAAAGGGGACATCAGTAGAAGGTAACCACAAGAAAAGAACATTAATAATCAAATTTCCTGCCAATTCAGCCTTAGGTATAGTCAAGAGATATGTTTAATATTTATTAAATAAGTCTCTTGAACAAAGTAGGATTTCAGAGTTGATTAAGAATTATTGTGTAACTAGACGGGCATTCTTGGAAAGTCCCAGTTCAGATGTATCTTGGAGTTGAGAAGTAACAGAAGAAAATAAAGGGCGGCGAGGCACAGCACACAGGGGAGTGTTACCTTTTTTGCGGGAAGGAGCATCTCTGTCCGTCTCCTCGTCCTTCTTTTTGTTTCCCAAGTCACTGGTGTTCACGGTCACGGTCGCCTTTATCTCCTGCTGGGCCACTTTCATGCGGTCGTAGAAGACTTTGAAGAACTTCTCTGACTTCTTATCTTCTGTGAGCCGGCAGAAAAAGGAGTGCTGCCGAGGGAAATGCACAGAGTTATAAACCTGGACGGGTCCGTCACCACCGCCCACTGTCCAGGCACAGGACACCCAGCGTGGTCATCACAGCAGCCAAGCAACGTCTGAGGTCCCCCAGCACACAAGGTCACACGGGCTGACATCACTGTAGCCTTGCTGCACACAGTTCCTAAAATGAACTGCCATGGGTCCCTCGCCTGGTGGTGCCGCAGCGGCTGTGAGGACACCACGTGTGGCGGGCGGGCCCCACACACCGAGACTCACACAGACGCACCACCACAAAGCCTGCACGACCAGTGGAGGATCAGCGGTGACCGAGGGCCAGTTGTGAGAGGGTGACGAGGAGGAGGGCAGGCCTCCCACCCCATCCCACCACGTCTGGTTAGAGTGACCCGTCCGCTGAGTCAGCTCAGGATGGTGCCACGTGGAACGGAGTGCAACGTGTGTCTCCTAAGACATCTTCCCAGCTGGTGGCCCACGACTGTGGCCTCCGTGTATTGTGACTACCCAGGGACCCCCAGAGGTTTGTGCTCCAGGATTCTATCAGACAAGACCACCTCCTTCCCAGAGAGCACGCCTGTTACACATTCTTGCCTGCAGCACCACACTCTTCCTCAGTCATTTCCTTGGCACGCTGCGCCTTGGGTTTTTCTAGTGTCCAATTGCTGCCTTCAATTTCTACATTTCATCAAATTTCTCCTTCATCGGCCTGAGCCTGGGAAACTCGTCCTCCACTGGTGATGGTGCGAACTTTTGAGATTCTGGGAACACAGCTCCCTGCATCAAGCACACAGGACAGCACACTGGCAGCCAGGGAGTGGACCATGTTCACATAGGAGGACGTGTAAGTGAGGGGCACCTAACTGAAGTGTAGATATTTGCTGGAAAGGCAAATGTCTTATTGCATATACACACTACACTAAAAAATATTCTTTAAAAGTGCTGTGCAGACAGTTACGCATTAGGAGTTGCGAGGTGAAGAAGAGGACAGGCTGGAGTCGGCCCAGAGTCGCCAGGGAAAGGGGGTCTTTCAAGGAGGGCCTTCAGGCCAGGGCAGGGCAGGTGGGAGGACAGAGACTCCTGTGCACAGGTAACTCGCCTCTCAGAACCACGCTGCTTGTTTCTAGATCGCTGTGAGCAATAGTATACACTGCTGATATAAACACAATATGGTGTCTCAACTCCCTTTGTTAAGTATTTGCTTTCCACCCTGTGTAAACACCACGCTGCTGTGAGTTATTTACATGAAAATACAAGGCAGTTCTTTCCAGAGGGATAAAACTAAGCTCCAAACAATGGATCTGTTTCTCCCTAGGAGGAGATCTTCCTGCTGACTTCACATCCTCTCCTTACAGAAGGTAACCTGGACTTAGGAGGATGAAGAGCATCCTGGCAGCTTCCGGAAGCGCCCTAGCGCCCCCACTCTCCCTTCGTGGCCGTCCAATGCCTGGTGTGGAGACCCCGAGAGCCTCCACACGCCCCTCTGCTGACAGGAACGTCCCGGATCCTGACCTGTGTGAACCTGACCTGCTCTGCTTGCTGCAGCAGCTCTAGCTGGCCTCCCCGTCCAAACGCACACTTCTGCTGGAGCTCCAGCTCTGCTCTGCCCTCCCCACTGGAGAGCGTCGCATTGCTCCTGGGTCTCTACGTCCCTCAGGTGCCTGTTCCGTGGGTCTTGACCTTTTTCTAACACCCTTTAAACGGCCTGGGGCCCCTCAGACTTCACTCCCTGTTCACATCCCAGTGAGAAGGGCCTGATCAAGCTCTTTAAAACAATCCTCTTCTGGTCAGTGTGGATTCTCACATGGCCATCTTGCTGGTCAGCTGATACAGTCAGTGTGAGGATGCTCTCGTGAGAGGAGGGAAGGGCAAGGTGTGGAGACAGAGTCACTTCCAAGTGACCAGCGTGTCCACTGTCTCCACAGAAGCTGGTCTGTGACTCACTCTGCTGTGTTAACACAGTCCTGCTGGGCACCCTTTTCCCTCACACGATTCCAGCTCTCTGAGGGCGCTGCCTCTCCTGCATGCCTCCCAGCGGCCTGCAGAGGATGCAGGGGGAACAGAGAGAAGGCTCGCTGCATCACAGAACCAGTTGCGAAAGCCAGAGCAGAGAACCCAAGGCACCTCTTAGCTGGACCCTCTCACCACATCACTCTTATCTTCATGGCTGTAACAGAACTAAAACTCCATCATGAATGAACTCTGAAGAATTCCTCAAGATGGAGAAAGCAAATCCCACCTGCTCATTTTTCTGAAAGCCAAAGCAAACAGAATTCCATGTGTGAGGACCAAGAAGTCAGCCCAAAACCGTCTAATTATGTTGAGGAAATTTTCCACTAAGACAAGTCACACAGTCTGTTGCTCACACAGGGCCAGCGGTGAGCGCCAACGAAGGCTGCACGCCCACCAGAGACCACCACCTCGAGTGACCACCTGTCGCGGCTACCAGCAGGCTTCTCATCCAGGGACATCTCAAGGCTGCCAGGGACAATCTGGCCACCCAACGACACTCAAGCGCTTCTAGTAATTGCATCCCGCCATCTGCCTGCCAAGTGCGCACACAGTGTAGACCCCTCCGCCCCCACGGCTGGCTGGGTAGCCCAGCAGATGCCAACGGGTGGTGCTTCCTGCGAAACGAGGCCAGAGGCTGTGCTGGCTGTGACGTGGCCTCTGGGCTGCTGGGTGGGACAAGCTGTTAACCAAAAGGTAGAAGGCTTGATTCTCCCCAGAGGTGCACTGGCAGAAAGGACTGAGGAGCTCAGTAAAATAAACACTGCCACCAAGAATCCTGTGGAACCAAGCTCTTCTTGGGCCGACGGGCCATCGTCTGAGGCCAGCTCAGCTTGACGGCAACGGTTTCCACCTGTTTCTGCAATGATGAATCCAACCTCTCGCCTCCACGAGGGGACCGGGAGAAGCACAGAGCTGCGACACACACACTGCACCACGTGTGTCTACCGGTCCTTCCTTCAAAGGTCCGAGGCAGCTTCCTAAACTGTCTAAAATTAGTGGCAGGACACAGAAGACGCGAGAACAGGTGAAAACCAGGGCTGGGATGCAGCGACGGCTGGAGGTGGGGCGTGAGACACAGCCAGACGACTCAGAGTGTTCCAGGTGAGGCTACAGGCCCAGGCCACCAGCTGAAAAGAGGCTGTGAGAAGTGGTTCTCTCTGTGGCCTTTTGCTTGGTTTGTGGGAAAAGGAGCTTGAGAAGTTTCCCCCTCAGGCCTGGGAGTTGCTTCAGCTCTGCTCTCCACCTGAGAGGCTGACCCCCCGACCCCTGGCGTGGCTATCAGGACTGGACTTGCCTTTGTCAGGGCGGACCCCTGACCCCTGGCACAGCTGTCAGGACCAGACTTGCTGTCCACAGCTGGCATGATCCATCAGCACACTGCACAGGTGTGTTGTTGTACGGGTGTCCTACCACGTAAACAAGGCATCTGTGGCCTAGACAGGCAGGACAGGTCACTTTGTGGCCTGCTTGAATGCCACGCCTCAAGCCTGGCAGTTTGTGTGTACACACAGCAGGGCCCCAGAGAGGTTTCATACACAGAAGCAGGAGAAGTGCAGGAAGGATTCGGGAGAGGCCAGGACCTTCCCAACAGCTAAATGGAGGCTTGGCGGTGGCAGCACTGAAGACAGGACCCGGGGTGTGTGTGTGTGTGTGTGTGTGTGTGTGTGAATGTGAGACACACACTGCAGTCTTGACCACAGCTCACGGAGGCCCCTGGCCTGTGGTACAGAACTGTGCGGGCTTCTCAGGACCACATGTCAAATGCAGACCACCAGGCCTTCTTCTGAGGTGCCGTGGGAGATCTGAATCTCCGCCTCCAGTTAAGCTGAGCCCAGTGACTGGTCACCCACCACCTCTGCACGGTTCTGACTCAGCGGCCTGCATGTTACAGGCTGTTAACCTCGCGTCTGGCCGCCGTCCCAGCCGCAGCATCACAGCAGAGGCAGGATCTACTGCCAGCCTTTCTTCTGATGCAATGCTGGGTGGGTCAAACCGCCAACCCTCGGGTTAGCAGACAAGCATCATCGTTTACACCTGCAGGACTCCAAGGGAGATCTGGTGGCCAGCTGAGTAAGGAGTGGTGCTGTCTACTCAAAGGTGGGGGGTTTGAATCTACCAGAAACCCCATGAAAGAAAGAGGGGCAGTCTCCATCAGTGGGATATACAGCCTCGGAAAATCCACTGGAGGGTCAGCTACGGAATCAATTCTGAGGCCACAGTGAGTGAGTGTGAGGGACTCATGACTGACCATACCCCCCCAGGCACTGTGTCAGGATATGCTTCATCTCACCTGATCTTCCAATCTACCCCGCGAGGGCAGTGCTGTCCCCACCTCCAAGCGGAAGAGGAGCAAAGCAAGGCTAAGAAGAGAGCCTGCCATCCCCAGAACTGGTGGCATGCGGACCTCACCCATCCACCTGGCTCCCTGGCCCTGGTTCTTATCCACCCTGCTTCACTCACCCCTCTCATCCCGATCACACAAGAAACACCTGTGACCAGTCAAAGTCCACGTCACCCCAAGGCTGGGCCGTGTGACGGGAGAGTGTCCTCAGCGAGGAGGAACAGCTGTGGTGGGCACCAACATGCCCCACATGCGAATGGTGCTGGACAGTCGGTGCGGCCTCAGGCGGCCTCTCTGTTCTGCGGGGTCTTGCCCAGCCTGGCACCACGGGCCCTTGATAAACACTGCTACACAGGGCTTGCTGCGGGCCAGGCACTTCTTGGAAACCAGAGATAGCAATCGACACGCAGACAGCCCCGAGCTAAAAGGGTAGTAAAGTGCACCTGGCTGGACCCAGGAGCTGAGGACCAGGTCAGGAGATCTTCTAACTTCCAGCCTTGGCACAGCACTAGCTGTTCACATGATCTCAGCAACTGACACGACTCTATCTGCGGGCTCATCAAGGCGAGTGGTGGGGGCGACACAGCACAGGAGTGAGGTGAGGGGAGAGAGCTGAAGGGGGGCAGGCAGAGAGAGGGAGAGA